ATGTACTGGAGATAGGCAGCTTGTTATGTATCCCCACCGTCAATATATTCTCTTATGCTCCAGAATGCGTGTGCGTAAAGGGGAGTTGTTTCCATAAACTGGGTTTAAATGAACTGAGGCAGAATCCTTTAAAGCCCGTGGTGATCGCTGTAATCAATACGCAGCAGTCAAGACATCAGTGTGATGGTGTTCCGGCTAGATCTGTCTGCACATTAACTCGGTATTATTAACACTTACAGGTTTCATTTTATATCAAATCCAAGACTCTACCCAATGATTTAGGCCTTATTAGATTATTTTTTCTCTATATAGCCTTATGTTTCTTGTGAACAACACATGACCTTGCAGGGGGGGGGGGGCGGCTGTCTGTCTATTTAACAAGCTCTGGGACTTTCAGGAGATGTTATTGGGATTCAGAGCACTGCCAACCCGCTGCAAACAGAATAGAGATGCCGAACAGAATTTTAACAACAGTCCTGATAGCAAAACAGAGTGCAAAGCACTGGAGTGTTGAGGTGCACCAAGATCAATTTCGGCAAATTTTCCATTGGCTGCACACTACTGAGTAGACAATAAATTCATTATTCAAATGATCCTTTTCAAACTTTGTTTAAAAACAAGGCATTAACCTTCCTGTACCCTTTAAATAAGGGTTTTATTACACGTTTAGTTTTCAGTCAGATGTAAGTGAATGGCAAACTGCATATCATGAATGACATGATTCATAGAAATAAATGGTTTTATATGCCCCCGCCTTTGCTGCTTTCATAAGCCTGCTTTTGAAACACACGTCAGAACACTGAGGGCTGGTTAGTGAGTCAGCAGGAGCTTAACATGTTAACCCTTCCATGACCTCTCCTGTTCTGTGGAAACGAGTGACCCGCTAAAAGGAAGTGTTTCAAAGTAATTTGCCGAAGCTGACAGAATGGAGTGTCTTCTGAGTGAATCTGAACCATGTAAGTAAGATGTGAAACCTTGCTGTGCTGCTCTGTGAGAACAGCAGGCACTTATAGCAACATATAAGAAGGCTGAAGAAGGCCATCTCCTAAATAAGACCCAACGCTACAACATCATTCAATGGTGGGAATGATGCTGTGTAAAATGTGTGGAATTAAGTTTGGAATTTACAACTGATTAACTTAACTGGTTTTAAGTAGCTTTACCTGAAGAAAATGTCTTATTAAATCTTTTCATTTCACTTGGAAGTTATATCAAGACTTTAAAATGTTAAATGGCTTTTTAACAATCATATAGACCAATAAGTTGTTCGAGATTTAACAATAACTTTCCAAGCATATGCAACTAATTCACCCTTACTTTAAAGTATATATTCAGGAATCCAGAGTGGAAAAGACGATTTTCATCAACAATATTGTTTTCTCTCATCTCAAAATAATAAAGTTGCTGTAGTGTTGTTCACTGTTAGCCATACCTCTGCACATGAATTAGGAATAAGATTTTAGGTGTTATTTGAATTTAGCTGCGATTTAGAGAAAATGTTTAAGAACTCTGACTGTATGTTGATAGGGGACACGTCACACAGAGTCCCGTGACTCGCTGTGGTCAAAAACACAACACGGAAACTATCCAACAGTTCTCTGGTCAGCCATGTTTCTACAGCTCTGTGACAGCTGGTTTAGGTGAGCACACTTGATTCCACTCCACCCCTATCTCTGAGTGGGCCTGTTTAGAATTGATTCATTTAGCAATGCAGAACTGTACTAATGTAAATTTGAGCACAGTTTGCACCCAGTGAATATTTAGGCATGCCATAGCATGAGATGGAGCATGTCTATTCTGAGAGCTCTCCATAGAGGGCCACAAACTGGTAGAAAACCACAACATTCCACGTATTAGAAACCCCAAACCAAAGATAAGAATGTAGAATATGATTAAACAGCCAGCTGGCAGTAACAAACACATCCAAATCTTATAATTACATATAAGAATTACACTGCATTTAAGCTTAGTAAAACCATGACTGTACTGTTGTGTATTTCTCTGTATTCTTTCTTTAGTGAGTTTCTTATAAACATTACATATTACATATTCAAGGCTTGTCTTTAACACAAGATGGTTACTCTGAGGAAATCCAGGAGGTCACATTTCCTAAGTGGGATGTAGACTATTAGCATAAATATGGACTGCAAATAAATTTGAACAATATAGTTTTGACTTTGAGGCTGCAGGTGTGCTCTGAGCTGGGCCTGTGCTCCCTGAAACGAGACACCTGGGCACCAACAGACAAAAAGACACCTGAAGGATTCATTTTTGTGTGTGTGTGTGTGTGGTTTTTTTTAGATGATAGTCACCCCAGACACACAGAAACCTGCTCTCGAGCAGAGAGAAACTTTTTCCTATTGAATGTCTCAAATCACATCCAGTTTGAAAGTCCCACTAATTAACAGCACAGTTCGAACACTGAGTTGTGGGTCTGCTTTGACTTTGTTTGGCCTCCACGTGCACTCAGACATGCAGCGTGCCGTTATGCACTAACAAGGCCTCTCACCTGCCCCGCTCACTTTTAAAAAGCCTTTACGTACCCCTGATTTATGATCATTTTCATATGCAGCTAGACATGTGTGCACCTTTTTACTCCAGCACACTTAGATTCTGAGTGGCACAACCCACACCGGGACTCATTAAAAACAATAACCAGCTCCAACTCACAGCCACAATCCAGTGCTTAAAAACCTCAATATTATGCACACAGAGAAAAGACACACGGTCTAAGAATTTAATATGACAACTACACACAGGGACTGAGCACTGACTCATACAGCCGTTTTTATGAGGGGAAATGGTCCAATTGGAAGTAATTAAAATCTCATATAAACAAGATCTTCCAGACTTTTTACATTTCTGCATGTTATGTGCAAACTGAAAAGGGAAAGTTCCTGTGTGTGTATAGACGCATGCCGATTACGAATATAGAAATGTCCTTTCCTGTTCTAAATATACAGAATATGATGCATTTGAGCGTCTGTGTGAATCATCACACTTCAGCGCCAGCCGGAAACCTATATCTGCCTCCTGCTCGTGATAAACTTTCTGCTCTCATACGTTCTGGCTGCTGATGGTTGGAACAGCAGGTGCGAGCAGGAGTGTCAACGTTTTTTTAGAGAGAAGTGAGATTTCCCCCCCTCCCGACCCTTCCTCCTTCCACTCGCATGCTACTAAAGCTGTCAAATGAATTCCCATGAAATATTTAATATCTTGTGCTTTGGACATCTGCCACTCTTTTTCACGTCACAGTTGTGTCTGAGCTCTCAGAGCTGGAAGAGCAAATGAAGGGTAATGAAAGTACAAACCAGCCAAGTTTGAATAAGAAACAGGGCCATGCCCTCCTCTGGAGGAAGCAGAGGGAGATATCAAATATTCAAAAGGATTTTTTTTTTTTTCAGTTTAAGCTCTAAGACATTTGTTAAGCACATTATTGATTAAAACATGTGGGTGCAGCATTGTTCAATTTATAACTAGGAGGGAAAAGGGAAAAAAAAAAAAACTCCCACAGGAAACATTTTGTCCATTAGGCCTGACAGATTACGTAACTTTCCCTGTTGGATCTTTACGTTTCATCCAGTCTGCTCCCCCCCCTCCCCAAAAGCACAGACGTGACTTTTGGCGTCTGCAGGAAGATGCCCCTTTGACAATAAATGAAAGGATTTGCGGAAGTTTTGCTAAAAATGTTTCTGATAAAGCCTCCAGCGAGGGGCCGGTCTGGAGGGTTTAAGCACCACGGACAGAGTCCGCCAGGCTCCGGGGAGGAAGAAGAGGGAGAGGGAGAGGGAGAGGGAGAGGGAGAGGGAGATTCGGAAAAAACTAAACAATTCTTCAACAAAAGTGAATGGCGAGTGCTTACCGAATTTCCTGTCGGCCAGAGCAGGGCAGAGGCAGAGGCAGAGGCAGGCGGCCAGAGCGGCCAGCAGGACGGGACGGCTCTGCGGATCCATCGCGCTGCTGCCCGGACACTAATCCATCGCACCCCCGCTAAAAAACAGCATGTTCCCGCTCCCACTCCGGGCGACAGGGAGGTGGAGGGTGTGGGGGGGGAGTGAGGTGGGCTACACGGAGAGAAGGGGGAGGGGGGGGACACGTTAGTGAAGCATGTCCACGGAGGGACAACCGCTAGAAGAGAAGAGGGGGCAGAAAGCTCTGAGAAACACAACACAGGCGTTGTTTCAGCACCACAAACAGCTCCCAGCTCCACCGAGGAGCCCCTCCTAAGGTTCTGACGTCAAACACACACACACGGTGCGGGGGGGGGGGGGGGGGGGGGGTGAAGGATCGCTCCCTGTGAGGCGTGAAGGCAACACACACCAAAAAATAATAATTAAAAAAAAAGCAATGGTACTTTGCATTGATTTATCTGTCCTGGGAGGGCGGCTGGAAAAAAAACAAATGTCCCACACAGCTGAAAGCAAAACCAAAATGGTGTCATCCTGTCTGAGTTCCCGGAAAATCCAAAGTACCAGAAACAGAGTCACATGTTTTACAACTGTGAAAAAAAAATGTATGACCAAAAAAAGAAATAAAGTAAAAATGAGCATCATGAGTTTATCTTTACTGAATAAGCAGATCTTTTTCCAGTTAAAACCTTTGCATGACCGGAATAATACAATAAGCAATGAAGTTATGGTATACATTACATTAAATAGATTAAAAAAAGAGGTTGCAGAACAACTAGAAGAAATAAGGAATTAATAATCTAAGTGTTATTTTATAGATACAGAGTAACTGTCATTTAATAAAATGAAAAATGTATCTCACGTTTTCTATTGAAAGTAACAAAAAAACTAAGAAACATTTAGCCATGACAGTCACAAAAATTAGCTTGTAACTATAACATTTTAATTAAATAAGTGGTAGTAATTTTACCAATAAACAAAACATATTTTTTTAAAAAAAAGGCTTTTTACAATCTCCCTAAAGTAATATCATTGTAGATTCTGAGTGCAAGGCATTCCCTTTAAATAAATACAAGTCAGAGAGGATGATAAACAGTTCATATTTTATTACTTTGCAAATCGCTGTACATGCAGGAAAACATCTGGAGGTTTGCATAGATTGATGCAGTTTGTTTTATTCTGATGAGTAGCAAACACAAACACATCAAAGAGCCATATAAACACAGAGACTAACTGCTTTTTCATGTGAATGTTTATGGGGAAGTAAAGCCTTTAAAGAATGAGTAAATTAATCAAAAGACATCATTCCTGCCATTTGGAGAAGTTTGCCTGTTTTTGTAAAAACTTTGAGAGGAAATCCACATGGCTTTGAATATTGGTGTTTTCTTTCTGACTCTCTTCTGTCTCATCCAGTAAAAGTGTGAGGCAGCAATGACACCAAACCTCAAACCACATCACAGATCCTTTTCAAAAGAGAGGGGAAATCAGAACTGCAGGATCTCATTCAAAGTCTTCACTGAGGATTCATAAATAACCCTGCAACAGAAGAGGATAAGAAGGTTAGAAAAACCTAAATAACCCCCCTCCCTTTAGAGCACGTACAGAGTCAGCCTCACCTCTGCATGTCTTCTGCTGAGGACGAGGCCGTGTGTCTGCTGAGCTGCTGCTGGACGAACACGGCCGCCCTCTTTAAGTCGGCTTTACACTGCCCTCCTGAGAAACCGCACAAAAAGGTGCATTTTTATGACCAGAAATGTTTTGAAAAATCTCATCAAATGAGCGTTCAGCGGAGGAAAACCCACTGTGTTTGATGACCACCATGACGTGCAGGACAGCAGCCAGGTCCATGAGACTGCTGATGGCCTCCGAGTCCAAAGACGAGCTGACCTCGGCCATAAGCGACCTAATCGGATCACACGGCACAGCCTCGTTATAGCTGCAGCTCTTCAGTTTTGTTTATATGGGGGTTCATTTGCAGGATTTGGATCAGATGGAAAGAAGGACTCACTTGGTGATGGAGGATGATTTGAGAATGACAGAAAGCAGGACGCTGGACAAGGGAGGCATGTCGTCCACCGTCTGTGGCGTGATCATGTCCTCTGGATGGCTCATCTTTAATAAACAAACACAGCAGCTGATAAGAGACCATATTATTCTCATGTGTCCTATCAAACTGCTTGAGGATAGAAAAAAAAAAGGTATCTAAATAATAACAACCCAATCCTTTCTGCCTCACACCTTCTGAAATAAATGTCTTTTCTCCACGATGATGACAGCAAAGATGGTGGAAAAGACCCCACTCAGAGGGGCTCCATCCCAGGTTTGGGCCACTTGCAGGAAGTCTGTCAGACCAGGAACAGCCGACTGACAAAGCTAGACAGGTGAAGAAAAAAAGGAAACAGCACTGAATGCTCAGTCTGACCGTTATCGGATAATAAGAAGATATAAAATACTTGATGTTAGATTATTTTCTAAAAAAGAAGACACGAAGGATGAAAAGATACCTGTTTTCCTTCCTCTGGCTCCTTACGAAGGCGGCGAGCCAACATCTCGATAATCTTCTGGAAAATGTTGGCCACCACGCCCATAATGACAGGGCCTGTGTCCTGATTCTCCTGAGCCCGGTGCTCCTCGTCAGGAACACAACAGCTTGCCACCTCCTTTAAAATTGAAAGCACCACGGGAATACACAGGTAGCCTGCATCTGAAAAGAAAAAAAGAAAATCCACTTTGTTGTTGCTTTTTATGGGGTTAGAGAGGAGTGACGCAACACAGTTATGTGATGTGAAATGAGACCAGTGTGGCTCTGGATTCTCATTCTTTCCATTAAGGCACAAAACAGACTTTTGATCACCCACCTGAGAGCAGGACGAGCGAGCACAGGTGGAGGATTTGACCTTTGAACGTCTCGTCGCCCAAACCAACGAGCAGAACATCACAGCAGACTGTCAGGAAGCTCTGGAGCGCATCACAAACATGGAAGTTTCACATCAAAATGGACCAATATTCAATCTGTGTTCCACTCTGCCCTCAAACCGAGTCAGATTAAAACCTAAGGTGGACATTTATGGGTATATCTCTGTCTACCTGCTGAAAAATCTGCATAAAGGAACTAACAAAGAATGTTAAACATGCATTTGTTTTCATCGTACGTCATCCAAAACAAAGAACAGGACAAACTGTCTGACGTGCCTGATGCTTCCATAGTTTTTAGGCTGTTCAGGCTCAATAAATACTCACATTTAATGTGTCAGAGTTGCTATCTACAAGCGGTGTTTTAGAAAGAAAAAAAGGAAAAAAAAGGGTTGTTCACCTCAGTTATCTGTGCGGCCAGAGGCTGCAGCTTCTCCGAGTCCTCGCCATCATCTCCGGTGCGTTTGCTTAGAAAGGGCAGCACCCTGTCTGCCAGCCATGCTGCCACGTGTTCCAGAGACAGCAGGTAGTCGCGGCCTTCTGTCAGCTGGGATGCAGAAAATGCCACAATTTATTTTTTCGCTATAAGATTCTGACCAGACCAAACTGGCTCATGAGAGGAAACGCGAGACCAGCTGCTGCCTCAGCTGACTGATCAGTTACCAAAGGCTGTATGTAGACAGTCTAACTGCAAAGATTTCAGCCACTCGTTTCAACAAACAAATCTACGTTGTGCTGAGCGTGATGTTAAGAAAGCACAACTGCTTTAATCTTTTCTTTTCTCCTTCTTTCAACAATTAACACACGTTTAGCAAAGAGGACCCACAACTGTTTGATAGCAACAATCCTCTAGCAGAAAAGACTGGACAGGGCTCATTCCCAAAGCTCCAGCAGCCGGCCTCCTCAGATGTTTACAGACTGGACCCAAAGACAATACCTGAGGCGAGCTGCTGCCAGTAAGTTAAGATGAGCAAATTATTGTCAAAAAATAAGAGAAAAAATTCTCTGTCAGTGTTTTTTATCATTTGTGAATAAAATGTGATTGGATTCATTCATATTTGCATTAAGATTTTCTTTCCATTTTTAGTTGTTCTGAAACTTGTGCTGTAAAAAATGCAGGCTTACATTATGTTGCAGATGTGCCCCGAGACGACCGTGATACGTAAAGGCTCTCAGCGCCGTTTCCAGGCTGGGAGGCTCAGGGTCTCCCGAAGAACTGAGGTGGCTGTACAGCACCGACTGCACAGAGGACACACTTCTGAATGCAGGAGCCACTTCTAAAGCGTCTAATTAGTCCACGTGTTCACACGTGGACAGAAGAATTACATGTGGAGACGTTTTTCTGATGTTGTTTTCCTACCTTCCAGTTCCCAAGAACTGTATGGAGCTGCTTCAGAGGTCTCTGACCAAGAGCCAGGACCTTTTCCCGTGTTGAACTATGAGAGAAAAGGTATTCCAGGTATGCCAGAGCTAGGTCTGGTTTGGCCTCCACAGAATCCTGAATACGCACCTTCCTGCTGCTGGCCGTGCTGTCCTGAAGTTGGGAAAAACATACTTTCTGACAGCAGGAAGGAACATCTGTTTATGTTCACCATTTTTTTTTACTTCCTTTCAAATCTGATAAACTGTCCACATCAGAGAGGTTTCCTGTTCCACTGACTGACCCCTTTTTTCTTTGGCAGCCCCTCACTGAGCCAGTCGGTGACCAGTTCAAGGATGTCAGCGGCCTGGCCCCAGCTACAGATGCAGTCCAGCAGCTGGCTGTACTGCGAAGGGGCAGCTCCCGACTCCATCCTCCTCAGCCGGGACAGGACTCCACAGCTGGGATGAAAAAATGAGGTGTGCAGACAAGGTGAAATCAGTAAATCAGCTAAAAGCAAAATCAAAGTAAAAAAGGATGAGATGTGAACAGTGTGAGAAAGAGATGCTCTGCGGCTCACCTGAATGTTGGGACTGCAGCTGGGGGCATAAACGATGCCAGCTGTATCAGAGGAACAGTGGAACGCTCGTCCTGAAAAACAGTCATCACCTCTTTAAAGCAATGTCAGATTTCAGCAAAGAGTGTGAAAACCTTTAGCATCGACGTACTTCAAAGGCCTGAAAATACTTGGCCATGACGTTTCCGAACTTAGCAGTCGTGTACTTGTGCGCCTCTTCGTTTTGTTTCAGCGCCTTCTCGACGCTTCTCCAAAGGACGACCACCACTTCCAGCAAACTGGACACAACGGCTGTGTCTGGCCCCAGTGGAACAGCTCCAGCCTGCAAAAGGAAGGCTGCTTTACTGAACTGCATGCAAATGGTGACGCAAAAGGAAAAGAGACATTCATCATTTGCTTAATAACAGTTTTCTCATCATAACATTTGTAAAAAAAACAAAAGATGGGTGTTTATCCTCAGGACGAGACTCCTAACATGCGAGCCACCTCAGTGTGAAATCAACACATGAAATATGTCAGTTTAAATGAAAGCAGAGCGTTTCCCGCCTACCGTGCTGTTCTCCTTGTTGCTGTCGTTAATCTCCGTCAGGTCACAGTCAACCTGGATGCAGCCGTTCAGAGTGCGGCGGATGGCCAACATCAGCTTTACTGAGGGGACAAAAGTGAGTTATGAGCTCAGAAGCGCCACGCTGGAAGAGCATAAAAGACAGCAGCCGACGTCCCCACTTTCCACCTACTTATATTAGTTGGTGCCGTATGTCTGTGAGCATACTGGTAGAACTTCCTGGCAGCCATGGGGTTCATCTGGATGAGAGTGACGCAGCGGCAGCACCACTCCCTCTCGCACTCGTTTACAGGGAAAAAAGACTTGAAGAGCAGATCGACGATCCGCCTGGAGACTGACGGCGAGTCCACAGCCAGGCGGGCCAGCAGGTGGTCCATATTGCAGATGTCCCAGAACTGAGGATTAGCAAAATGGAGGAAAGAAAATAGGTTTATAACTAAAGCCAAGGCACCTTGTAATAGGATTGTGTTTCATTGTAAAACAAAACAATTGTTCTCTATTATACTGTAGGAAATGAAACAATGAAATCTGCATGCAGTACCTTGGCAGCACGAGCTGCTTTAACCTTAATCAGCATGTCCAGGAAAGCTATGCGGACTTTCTCTGAGTTGTCATGGAGGCTGTACTTGAGCGAGGGCAGGAGTTTTTCCATTAGTGGATGGCTGAGAGGGTTGTCCAGAACAATAGTCAGACACTAGAAGGCGAGAAAAAAATGTTAATAATGAAACATCCTGTCTACAGGGATAGTAAGCCTCACATCTGATTTGTTTGCTTTATGCTGCTTTTTTCTGCTGATAAAAGGCTAAACTCATCAGAAAACAATTACATATTTGATAATTAAATTTGAAACTATGTTAATGTTGAATCTTGTCCATTTTACAATTTCTGAGAAGCCAACTTTTAGAGTTTGTCAAATGAATAAATAAAATGGGAGGACTCACAGAGCAACACACAGTTTGTCTCCACTCCAGTACACAAGCTTATGTCCTCCCCACAAGCAGTATTATTGATTTTTAAGATTTCTAGTTCTGGAAAAGTCTGAAGGATTTTTCAACCACTAAACTTTGGGAACTTTTGTGACCTTTTGTACAAGCGGCTTCAAGCGGATTAAAAAATTGCCTTTACCCCTAATTGTCATTACTAAACAACAGGCATCAGGGATATGGAGAGGTCCTTTTTTTTTTACCTTAAAAACTGAGCAGCGGACATCAGGGGAGCTAATGTCAGCCGCAAGCTCCAACACCAGCTTCTTCAGGAAGTCTGTGATGATAGTTGGAGGAAGCAGCTCCCAGCACTTTGCAAGGATTTTACAAACCCCCAAAGTTGCATTGGAGCGCACCGTGGGGTGAGGGTCATCTAGGAGGACCTAGAGAGTAAAGGAGGTAGTTGTAATCTCACATTTCAGGAATGATCTAGCAACTCAGAGATGCTAATAAAATTAATGATCAGTTCCTCCCAACTAAAGAAGCTAAATATATCGTTACCATTACTGTGTCCAGCTGCTTCTGAATGTTGATGTCTATATTCTCGTGGTTTTGATCCGGATCATGGACTGGGAAAGCCTCAGTGAACAGCAGAGTGGCATTTGCACGGACTTCAAAGTTAGGAACCTGAGAAATAAAATAAAAGGCAGCAAAAAAACAAACAAAAAAAACGTCAAAACCAAAATGAAAAAAACACCCATAAGACAGAAAATTACCAACATGTATGAAGTAACTTTGTGTGCGTACTTTGAGAGCTTTCCACAGGATTGGCTTGTAGAGTTTATGGAGCATCTTGTCCACACTGTGACAGCCTTTTCTGGAGTGGAAATAACTCACAATCTGTAGATGAATGAAAGATCATAAGGCACAGTGTTTATCAAAAGAAGAAGTACAACATAAAAATGTATACAGATTTAGAGCCTTCTATAGATTCCAGCCCACCTGTCTGACTTTGGCGTGGACAGGTGATGTTCTCTGGAGGAAGATTGCATTCTGCATAAAATCCTGAATGCACGAGCTCTCAATCTTCTCCAAAAAGTCTCCACTTGCTTTCTTCCATGCCCTGAAGTAGATCTCTATAATGTGAGTCATCAGGCGCCTGAAGGAAGACAGATTTGACATAATCATCATGAATAGGAAACTGAACAGTGTAATTGAAATTAAAGCACGCCTCTTACTTGCTATAAAACTCCAGCTGGTTTTTGATGGTACCATGAATGGCCCAAATGAAGTTGACGTTCCAGCTGAAGAGAAACACCAGGAACCGCTTCCCCTGCCACAATATACACATCAGACTGACATAGGCTCATCCCTTCGAATAACTGATAGAATAATAATAGAAATGATAACAACTGTAAATCATAGAGACACCAAACACACACCAAGCAGCTCAGAACCGTTCAACTCACGTCATCATGTCTGATGTAAATGGGACGGTGAAAGCACTGGAGCAATAAGTCGATTATCTGCTTGTTGTCCTCTGATGTGTAGTCCATACTCAAAAGCACATCGTGGAGACTCCACACTCTCTGAATCTCAGCGCCCTGACAAAGGGCCACAGATTAAGAGTGATATTGATAAATCTTATCAGGCTCTCAGTGTTCTGTTGGTTGGCAGGTTATCAGTAAGAAAGAGACTTTGGCTGTTACAAATTCAAACCAACTGACATGAAAGTGAGAGGATAGAGGATATACTAACTGGTTTATTCAAGATGAAGCTCCTCTGCAGGGCAGTGAGGAAAGCTGTGCAGCCAAACCTTTCCTTCTCCTGGAGGCCTTTCTTCCACCAGGCCTCAAACAGCAGCTGGATGTGCAGCTGCAGAGGTGCCTCCGACACAGGAAGTAACACCAGGATTTCTGCGGCAAGGAGGTGAATATCATTTGAAGTACATGTTCGATCTGGTCATTTGTGTGGTTTGAAGTCTAGAATTCGGAGATTTGAAGTTGTGATTTTTATTTGAGGAACAGCACAGATAGACGGCCCCACTTTAGCAGCTTAAAAAACTGACTGATGATTTCTCACAAGATAATATAATATTTCAGATCATATTTTCTTTAGTCAGAAATTATGGATGATGAACTGCTGAGTAATTATAAAAGGTCGCCTTGTAGATTTTTGCCTTTCATCTTCAAAGAAGCCAACTCTAGAGAAAGATAACTGTAAATGTCTACCTGCTTGCTCATTTAGACTGAAAGTACTAATGCAAATTTGAAAAAAAAAAAAACGGGGAAAAAAAGTGGAAAGAAAAACACTCACCGTGAAGCCTGCGAGCAATATCCAATAGGCCAGCGTAGGTGTCTCCATCTTGTAAAACGTTTAGAGAAACTGTAGCCACCAGAGTCACGCCATCCACAACAGCCATAACACGTTTCTGGGAGGGAGGATTTGGTTTGGTTCTCAAAAATACGCAAAGATGCATTCAGAAGATACAAATAACAAAATAAGTCATTTCACCAAGGAAAAAAACTACTTTTTTAAGCACCTCATCCATGCAATCCTAAACTAAATGCAACAGCATAGAAGTACACATACTTCAGAGCTTTTTCAAAGTTCAGGTCAAGCCATTTTCAACATTTTCCTGCATTCCAACATGGTAATTAACTCCGCAAACTGAACAGAAAATATCTACTGAAAGATCAAACTCCCAAACCAGTCGCTGTTGTGAAATAAAGGAACCTGGTGAAAGTTTTATGACGATGAGAAATAAAAAATAAAAAAACACGTTTTTTTCTACAGCCATCTTATGTAACCTTTCTGACAAAACACTTGAAACACTTGTGGTACAAAAATATCTAACTGAATTAAAGGCAATTAAACAAATTTGGTCTAAATTGAAAACTAATTACTCAATAATTGTATTTTGAATACAAGTGCAGTTACAGTTTAATTGAACTTTTTTCCAAACCAGTAAACATCACTTTAAAATTTCCAGCACCTGTTAAAGTCCTGCTTAGGCATCAGTTGAACATAAACCTGTTGTTAAACTTACAGGGTCTGACGCCATCTCCTGCTGCATGGCCTCTTCCCAGTGGTCTGGAGGCGAGTCCAGCAGGATGTCCCGAAGAAGCAACTCCAGCCTGACCCACAGAGCCTCTCTCTGGTCTCTGGGCATCTCCTGCACCACCTCCTCCACATCGAAAGGATCCGTTTTGTCCTTCTGCTCAGTAGTGCCGACAGAGTTTTCAATTGAGAGGCGCACATATTTTCAATTTTAAGTCAGGGTTAGTCACTTAAACTCCTTTAAGTCATTTAAGCTAAAGCATAAAACTAGGCGTTCTACTCACTGTCTTAAAAATCAATAGAAGTTCAGAAATGTGTTGCCTCTTGAAATAAATATTCTCTATCACAAACAATTCTCAGAAACCCTCTAAGCTAATTCAAAAGAATTTCAGTGAAAGTATCGATAGGAAGTGGGGTTACGGATCATATTTCAACCACATAAGTTACTCTTCATTATGTCAACTGGCAAACCTCCAGGTTAGATTTTAAAATCCCTCATCTTACATTAAGAAGCACTTTATGTCCACGCTCCATCAAATCCCACCGTTCCCAAAGTGCCATTTTATCTCAATAGAGCACTTTGGTCTCAGGATGGAGGGTTATAGTGGGGAATAGCTTAAGCTATCAGCCTTCTACGTTGAAGTAAAGGAGGAAAACACCCTCTATACTTTAAGGATTAGCCTTGAAATGTTCTTTTTTGATGAATCTTAGAGTTGGAGCTGTTGAGGTGGATCTGAATCACCCTTTAATTAAGTCGCAACAGACATATGCTGCTGAGCGGTCTCCCATGACGCATGGAGCACCTCTCCCACGCTCTCCTTTCATTTGTATGCCATTTGCATGAAATTAACTTTTGTGTGCATCTCTCTCCTGTATCTGAGCTCTTTGGTGTCACTATCTCCAGTTCTGGAGCTGAATCATCTTTCAGAATTTTTAAAAGCCCTCTATACTTTCTGTTATTTTTGGTTCTGCCTTAGCTAATATTCCCTTCAGGCAAATGAAAACAGAAGAGTACAACACACCCACTTTACCAAATCATTCTGATAGGATAAAGAGTAAGACTTGTGTTTGTTCTCCTTCCCCAGTTACAAGTGACAGTTTCACAATTACAAAGTGGTTTTCAATTCTTAAACTTGAAAATCCTTAAAGTTATACAGTCCCACGACATATACAACACATACAACATATAATCGATTTACTTTTAGAAGCACAAATGATACATTCTGGTCTGATCATCTGTGGTTAGAGAAGTCAGGTACTTACATGGAGCTGAATAAAGCGAAGAAAATCCTCCACTTTTTCCTTAGAGGCGGCCTCTAGAAACGCCTCTCTCTTGGACATGATTCTTTGTCCACAACTGATACGAAACGACCTGAAAATGTCAAATAAATCTGCGGTGGTTTATGAAGCAAACGTTAGAGACTGTAAAGCTAGCTTAGCAATAACTGTACCGAGATCAAAAGAAATATGTCTAACCGTCTATCGATAAAGTTACAAGTAACGTTACACGTTACCTAAACTCTGTACAAGATCGCCATAACAGTTAAAGATACAAAATTATTCGAAAAAACAACTTCCGTGGCCAATTACCTTGTTATTGATGATTTCTTGAGACAGCAACAGTGAACTGACAGGCTACCATAACAGCAGTTTACCCGCGCAAACTTACAAAGATATTTTTGCGTCATGACATCATACGTATGAAAGTTTACGCTAGCTGTTGTTTCAATTTTCAACCACTTGATGGCGACAAATCACTGTAAATATATAACAACTAACAGCGCCACATGTTTTCGAAGTGGTGCTTTTAGCTGGCCATGTGATTTAATGGATTCAGTAGAAATTCTTTCGCTTATCGATTTGGTCAAACCTCCAGAAATAATGCTGAAAGGTTATACATATGATAAGATCACCCTCTGTTTACTGGTATGATTTGGAAGATGGGAAAATAAATTATATCACACTAAGTTTCACAAGAGAAACAATTTATTCATCAAAAGCCATCAGGCATCATGTCATTTAAGTAATAACTTTAAGAAAGCAAAAAATTACATTGTTGGTTTTTAAGGCACGGGAAATATAACAATAAATTTACTTTAAAAGTTTCATCAAACAGTTATAAGTGCGTTGCAAAAACATACACAAGCACAGACACTGATGCATCATCATCTTAACAGATTTTTGTAGCCTGCTCACAGAATGCATTCATTCACATCTCTGTGGATACTTCTGAATAACCTTTGGTTTGAGAACAATCAAACCCTTATTCAAGTAGCCTCTGTATTGTTTGTACAGCACTTGTTCATAGCCCTAAAATGACCCATATGAGACATTGCTCAGAAACAGCAATATTGCACAAACTCCTAAAAATATACAGAGCAGACATTTCATAACTTGCATATGTGCATTCCATGTTTTTAATCGAGCATAAAGAAGAATAAAAGATAAACAAACAAATAACACTGCATGACCAAAAAACAAAACAAAAACAACACATTTAGTATTCTACCTGTTCCTTTGGTTAGATTTCTTTTTAAACACACAATGAAACAGCATTTGTCACATTTTCTCTGGGAAGTGGGAAGAGAGCAAAAAGAATTTGGGCAGATTTCAATAAAATTTCCTTTAAGGAAAAAGAATGCCAGTAAAACCCCTGCAAATTCTTTTAACCATTAGCATTAGCATCTTGATATTTACAGTAAACACTGAAAACAGAGACAAGGCAGTTAGCGTGTTTCATAGTATCACACAGTATCTTCCAATCTTGTAATAAAACAGAAAATATTTGAAAAAATTCGAACATGCTAAAAAAAATCCTCTATAGTTTGAACATACTGTACATGAATACAGCAGCGGGGTGTGCTCGCAGATCAATAGAATCACTTCTTTGTTTTGTTTTTTACAGCTGAGAGGTGGTTTCACTATGTGAGGAGAGGATCTTGACTACTTCTTAAGCTTTGAGATACTAAACCATCCTCACTTAGTTCGTACCTGCAACACAAAGAGAAAGCATCATATCAACAAACTAAAAGTAACAAATCTGAACACCATCGATTATTACGTACAGGATGTTAATATATTGTATATTGTATAATTACCATTGTGTTAATCCTTTTGATATATCATTCCCACCCAAATGTACCAGCACCTGAAAAAAGAAAGAGACGGAATGGTGATACTGCTGAGCCCAGAATTGGGATTTCTTAATTGTCATGTTTTTAACGTTTTCTGTTTCCTGAAACATGGTATTTCCCTGTCATTTGAGTTTTTCTCTTTTATTATTGCTTGTGGTTTTGCTCCCGTGTTGAGTGAATGCCAGGTGTCTTTTTCACAGCTTAAATATCATGCGTTTCATATTGGCAGACCTTACCCCCCCCTAGGAGTTACCTTTCCCAGAAGGCCTTTGTGTTTGGACAGGATGCTCCCTCCGTTCTTTACTGCTACATCCAGAGTTCTCCGGTGGAGCTCCACCACAGACACACTAAACTCAAACCTGCAAACACAAATGCCAACATTTTACAACAGCCAGCTAACAAGACATTTTCACTCAATAAAAAATTGAGACATAGTTCCATCTCCAGCAGACATTCAGCAACTTACACAGTCGTAAAGAAATATTTTGAAATAGCTTGTACTATCATGCAGTCAAACAGGATCAAAACACCTGTATTGTTCAACATCGTGACTGTGCATTAACAAGGTCAGATATCGGCTTTGTTTCTTCTAGATCAGAGAGGAGATCTTCCATGTCTGTTACTCATCAAACAAAAATGTCTGCCGACAAAACAGAAAAAACAGAAGAAGCTAATCCATCAAGGCCACGTACGTCTTTGTGACCCAAAAATATTTTTGTAATGCTCACACGTAGGAACTTAGCATCTAATTTAGCATATGATTTTAAATAAATAGTGGATGTTGAAGAAGAGGACGACTCAGATGGTGACAAAGTGGAAGAAAGCAGCCAACTAACATTTGTGGATTGTGTTTTCTGAAAAATTAAAGGAGAAAAATTGAAGAAAAGAAGGAGCATTCTTATCGTGTATAACAATAAAATCACTTTCTAAATGGAAATGCTTGATGAGTTGCGGTAGCTGCTTGTTTTTTGTCCATTTGTTACTAGGCAGTGAGGGGACAGCTCACAGGCTGCTCTGATGTCTGAACGCAAAGTGAGATCAAATTAATAACAACATAACTACAAATGCCATCAACTGGAGGCAGATGTTAATAAGTCCCTTTAAACTAGAATGTACCCACGTTTGTTCGAAGACAGGGTGGAGAGTCCTCCTCATCGTGCTGGTCTTCCTCCTTCCTGTCCGGCTCTTGTCGGGCAGCAGATAGAGCCGTATGAGGGGGTCTGAACCGTCTTTGGTGAAGGCGATCAGGTTACTGAGGACACACATGACAAAAGTCTTTTCAAAATTCCTTCAAAGTCTGATTCAAATTTGGCTTGTTTCTGCGGTCTGGGCCTCACCGACAGGCGTGCACCACCACGATGAGTTTGTTCCTCTGCGCGCTGTGTCGAACAGTCAGCTTGACCTCCCCCAGCGGGCACAGCAAGGGGGTCGAGCCACTGTGAACAGAGAGAGTCTTTCAGTGTTGCTTCACGGATAGATTGTTTAGCTTACAGGCTGATAAAAGAGGATATTTTAAACAGGCAGTAGGAGCAGTGTATCGTCTCTAGCATTTACTTCTGCAGCTGATGAAGCCTTTGCTGCAGCTCCAGGCTGGCGGTGGGCAGAGAGATGTCCGAGGCCAGGCTGGCGGTGGACTCCTTGTGAGACAGGTGCTTCTGGGAGCCGGAGATGCCGGTGCTCAGGCTGGAGGCGCTGCGGAGCGGGCTGGCGGAGTACGGCTCGCCGTCGTGGTGCTGCAGGGTGAGGGCCGAGGCGTACGTGGGCCGCGGGGGCGTGGCCGAGAGCAGCGGCGAGTCGGAGGCCGACATTCTCAGAGGGGGCGCTGCCGCGGCCGCCTGGGGCAAACTCAGCTTCCTGACCTGGACCGATGAGGGCAGGTCGGAGGACACCTGCTTCTCCAGAGATAGGATCTACAGACACAAGGCAGGACAGTTCTATCACAGTTACCTCCTAACGAACGTTTGGGAGGCTTTCACTTCACATTAGTGGCATAAATAAGTCATCAGTTTCACTGATGGGGGTTTGCCTGGGTAATTTACCTCTCTCTATACTATTTCAACTCGATACAGAGTCGTAACAAGTAACGTCTTTGTGCCTGTGCAATGAATTTCTATTTCCATTATATTTTCATTACATTTGTTGGCATATTAGTTGTGCTCCAATGGACAAATTCTGTTCCAGAGAAGGTCACTAATTTGATGCGGTTGCATTAATCTTTTTTTATTCAATCAGCTGTGATTCAGTAAAAGACAATGCAATTAGTCTCACTGTCATAAATGTCAGTGTAGTTTACTATGTAATGTTTTCAGCCATTAGCCGACAAAATACTGCCATTTGTCATGTCCTTTAAGTTCAAAATTAAACCAGGTTATTTACGACAACATTTGGCCAATCAGCTCACCCAGAGAGCCACTGTCCGCACTGCACGATTAATGGATTGCTTGTAGTGGGATTTTTTTCTCTTTGGGTCTTGGAATACCACTTTAAAAACCTTTTCAGCTCTTAGGATCTCTTCTTTCTTTTTGTATTTTGAACAGAAAGGAGTTTGGGGTTTAAACTTCCTTCCTTAAACATCCTTTTTGTGTTTGTACTACTACACAATCTAATCAGACTAACTGTAATGAAAACTAGTTTATTGGTGGAGAATGAGGGCACATCGATTTTGGTGTCCATTTAAGTGAGCTTCTTAAAAAGCCTCTAAACTAGAAACCGTGCAGAAAGCGATTCGCTCCATTCATACCCGCAAGGCCATCTTCAGTTTGACTGTGGAGCTGGGGCCCGAGTTCTTGAGAGGAAAGCACTGAGTCAGCGTCATGTCCTCTTCTGACAGCAGGCCACTCAGAGGCACTGTCAGGTTACCCAGGGTGCATTTGTGCTTCTCATCTTTTATCTGTGCATCAAAAGAAAGTTTTAAACAAAGCAGATGAAAATAATTGAGTTTGGTACTAGTTTTTCCTATTGTTTCTGTAAACGAGCCTCACAAAAAGAGAGAGTTGTCGGAAACACGTTAAAAACGTGGCTTTACCTCCACCTCGAGCTCCTGCCTCCTTGGATTATGGACCAGGAATGAGAAACAGTCCTCCCACAGAGGCTCCTTGGTCTTATACCTTACCTACAGAGTTTTATTTGAAAAAAAGACACAAAAAAGGCAGTTCTTAGAAAATATCCCGGTGGTGCTGTCACATCTCATGGTAGTTTTTATTTGAAGGCAGAAACATAACTACTGAGATAACCAGCAAATTATACTTTTATTTCTATATACATCACAATCCTCTCCTTTGGAAAAGAAAAATGAATTCAGTTTAGGAAAAAAAAACAATGTGGCTTTTTATAACTATTAGCTTGACATAACAGGAACAACAACGATGAGGTTTTGATTGCCAGTATGAAGGGTTCCTGAAGCCCACATCCTTAGAGCTCGTGGTTGCTGAATGAGGACAAAAGACTGCTAATGTAAACACACCAGGCAGCAGCACGACTAAATATAGTAAACTGCAGGCAGGGTGAGCTACTACTCTTTCATTTTTTTGGTCAAACCTGTGCCTCTGTACTTCGCCAAGTCATTTATCTGACATCTGCTCAGAGGAGCATGCGTTCAATCAGCAGGTTGAAAGAAAAGAGTTCAGAAACAAGAAGGCTACCACTTAAAAATCTATTTTACTGTCACTCACGCACGTCTGTTTTAGAATTACTGGCAGATGGTAGCTAAAGATTTGAGAGAATAGCAGAGTGTGGCTCAAGTTTCCATCAACTCAGCAACTTTAGGGTCATAATCTTTAGTCATCTGTAGAGAGAAACGACTTTTAATTTCACAGATTGGATCTGTGCATTCAACCGACTAAAAGCTTCAGGAAATTGTAGCTACCTGGGAAAAGAAAGATGGTGCTGTAAGATAAATACTCTAAGATATTGCGAAATTTAAAGAGGGAATCCTGATTGTTTGCTTTTGTTCGGTGACAGTGAGACGATATGTGGGTGTCACATTTCCAGATCTGAAAGAGTGCAATTCCAACATGAGCGCACGGAGTGAAATACACCACTATGCAGTGGTTACAATTAGAGGTGGACATCTAAAAAAGGAGATTAAACTCATTTAATTTTACACTAACCTCAAATAAATGAGCCAGTGTATATGGCATTCTATCAGGAGATTACGGCCCACTGAAAACAGTTTTGGAATGAAAAAAAATGACAACAGAAGCGCGACTACTGTCTCACTACTTCATTTGAAAGCAAATGAGTTCATAACTTTTCAGCGATGCCTGTACAGGAGGCATAACCAGCATCTTCCCTGCAGAAGTCCACCGTGCTGAACTGTTTACGCTGTTCATCCTTCTTGACGTGTTCGCTTTTGAATGCTATATTTCCCATGAGATATTGCAGCACTTCAGCATTTAATTGGGCTTTTGTGGCTGTAATTCTTTACTTATTTTTGTAAAGCCTCTCTTTTACTGTCAGGGTTGTTTATTTATTCAGTAAAAAGTAGCTCCACAGAGATGTATATTGAGATTGAGCTGTATTGGCTAGACTCCAATACCTCTCTGTGGAAAACAGCACAACTGCTGTTTCCAGTTTGATTGCTCAGACGCTTAAAGTTCACAGTGGAATTGAAAATATAAACGTTTTTTCATACTCACTCTGCTCTCCTGTGTTTTGTGTCCCACGGTGAACTGGACATAGGGGCTGGGTTCACTGCTGCTCTTCTTGGCCGACTGTTGGACAATCAGAGAAGGAGGCATGTTTTAGGGTTATGAGCTGGGCTACTTTTGGGGAATTTATTAAGCACAGAACATTGAGGAGTCTGTCATTCATACATAGGAGTATAAACATACGCTTAGACAAGCAGGGCTGCAGGCAGAGAGGCTACCAAGGAGACTGCAAAGCTTCGTCTCCGCGGCAGGCTAAATTTAGCATGCCGACTTCTGACAGCCAAGAATTACTCAGTATTCCGAACAGAGAATACCCTAAATATCTACAGGATAGCTACTATGACAACTGTGGGAAAGTCTTCCCCCTCTCTCTCTTTCCCACGAGGGCTTAGCTTATACTTAAAATATATTTCTCATCAGCAGGAAATGGTGCAAATGAGTCAGAACAATGTTTTAATGTGCAACAATTCACTTTAACTTAGAAAAGCACAAGGCACTTAAAAGCTGCAAATGGTTTCTTAATGTACGCTGAGGTTCTTTGGCTGTTTGTGTAGTCCTGCTGCATCTGTCTGTTGTGGGTAAAATGCACAAACACACACGCATGCAAAAGGGAGAATCCCTGCTCTAATTTTCCTCTACAGAGTTTTGCTTTTGCAAAGGTGGTTTTTTAACCTCTCTTATGGGTTTTCCTGATCTGAATAAAGAGAGCAATTTCCTCAAGCTTCAAAGGCGGAAATTAGGTTTCACAGTAAACTAAAATTTGCATAAGATCCTCACTTACTCTGATGTAAACAAAACAAAAAAACAAGGCCTACTACAAAGTGTTGTAGGGCCAGGAATCAAATTCAGAATTGTAAGGTGAAAAGGTTTCTCTGAGACACACAGTTGATTGCAACTTTGTGTTTTTAGCATTCTTCACACCCACTCCTGCACCCCCTACAATACAATAAATACACACACCACTACTTTGAAGCACTAAATGCTTCCAGAACTTCTGAATATTTGCATACAGAGAAAACACGCACAGCTCCATGTGACACTAAAAGGAAGATTGCGTTCATAATGTGAGAGGAAGGAGGAAGTGGTTAAGAGTGCCAGCAAAGAATTAGCTGCTGGCAGGGAGGGGGAGTGGGAGGGGGGCCAAAGCAGTTGTACTCCTGCTGGCTCGCAGCGCAAGATGAATCTGATAGAGTGACTTGTCACACACATGCTGCGCTGTTGTACTATGGGCACAGGGTTGGGCCATTGTGTGTGTGAGTGTGAAAGGCTTAAAACTTCTTGGAAGTAACAAATGAAACCACTCATGGTTCCGGGAAAATATGCAACAGCTGTTTTTCTGGGAGCAAACTGAAACTACGGAATCACCGTTGTCACGGGAACTATTGGTCCGTCCGGTTCTTCCACCCACCGGGAGAACACTCTAACAGCCTGACAGTCAAGACCTCGCTATCAGGAATTCCTGATCGTAAATCCAACGTGAGATCGGACTGTCAGGTCACAGAAAAATGACACTGGGTGTGCAGGATTAGTCTTCTGCATGCAAGATCATGAGTGGAGATGGGAAAATGATGCACCATCACTGGGGAGAGGGGAGTGCACGGCCACCATGGTGTAACACATCCTCATGCACAGCTGCACTCTGTGTGCTAATGGCCACAATCACTTGACACTGGATGGTGCACTGGAGGGCCAGCGCAGGTGGGACACAGGGTGTGTGATCTGTACATGCGGACCGTTTTTTCCCACTTTACCTTCAGCGCCTTAAAGACTGAGACTTGCTTCAACCCATCATAGGTGAAATCTGACAGGTTGCTCTTTAAGCCACGGGGGGAGAAAATCACACCTGCAGTTAGTTTGGATGAGCCGGCGATGTAATGTCATGTGAAAAAACCCAGAGCTATAAGGAAAGTTTTCCTGAATAGCTATACGAATGCATCCTAAAATGTAGATGAGATCAGTAGTGTCGGGGCTGACACTAATGAAACAGAAATGAAAGTATTCTTTGGAGGGAAAACCCAGAGGAGTTCATTTTAGACAGTGTATGATTTTTCTTTAACAAGCCGCTGGCTTTCCGTATTTGAACAGCTCCAAACCACCACTGACAGATCATTAAGAGCTCTGCCACTGAGCCCTTTGTAGCCACATATCTCACACTTTAGCCTTGAACTAAGCACCTCGTGTAGCAGAATTCAAATCTGACTAAGAAGCAGGTAGACTGCACCATGTGCTGCTGCTGCTTCGTGTTAATGGTTATAGGGAATTCCAAAAAAGAGCATGCAGCTGGTACATGCTTTCCCAGAAAACCTTTGAAGACTCCTGTTACTGGTCAACCAACACACCTCTAACGCTAACACTGCAGAGATGCGGAAGCTTCGTAAGACTCACACATATTGTTCTATACTCTGACGTATTGCTCTCACAAAAGACTAGGCCAGACGCTCTCCTCTCACTCAAGTTTCCACAGCCTAAGCTGCCTGTGAAGACGCTCTTGGGTGCAGACGAAAGAGAATAAAAAGGAAACAGTGCTGTTATGAGAACGAAGATAACTGAATATTGTATCATTGCACAATGGTAAAAACCTTTTTCTGTTATAAATCTAAGAGACTACAGAATGTTTACAGATTGCGGTTAAGTTTCGCTGTTTTATGTGCTAAAGAAATTCTTAAAACTGTATTCGTTTTTAGGACCATGAAGTTTTGTACATTTTTTGTCTAAAAAACAGGAAACAGGAAACCTATTGCTGTGAGAGAGAATTCCTGACCCCCACAAATAATTGAATACAGTTTTATGGCACAGAATGTATAAAACTATTAAAGTGCTTCCTTTCATTAAATACAAACAATACATAAAAGTGTAATGAAAATCACAGATGAGCCAGTGCAGTTAGAAATAATGCACATTTCCACAGCTGAACATTAGCTGTCAAAGCTGTACAGAAGTTATTTCTAAATAATTTATCTGTTATATTTACTCTGAAGTGGTGTTTGATGGAAGGTATCTGTTCCCACAGTTTTTTTTAATAAAGCAAGCAGGAGCTGATCGATAAGGCAAGAATATGAGCAAATCATTTGAGATATATTGAAAATTATATTAAATCTGAAATGTATGCATGCTCCAGTAAATATCTAAAATTTAAAAGACTACAGCTCCATCTAAAGAAGGAAGATTCTATAAAAAAAAAAGTGGATATTGTTGTGAGAATCCTCTGAAAATGTGAGAGCACATAAACTAGATTTACGAGAAAAGGGAGAGTAAACAGTAGGCATCTCAAATAATAAAAACTATGAGAAAATTAATTACTGGTGATCATTCATCGATAATGCTTATTAAAACATACTGACATATCTGGTGGTGGTTTCAGAGGTGGTAAATGTTGCGTGGATATTTAAGGTGGAGAACAAGAAGCCTGAATAAGCAGAGCGCTGTGTGTAGCACAAGCCCAGCATCACAGAAGCGGCTGCAAAAATAAAGACAGCGTTGCAGCATCTTACAGGCAGGTTTTTAGCAGAGTCCAGATAGATGACCAGCAGAGCTGACGACAGTCCGTCGTTGGCTAGGCTTCTGTCTGCACGCACACTTCTGAGCACCTGATTGGACCCAGAGGAATTAATGGCAGCAGACGAATATCAAAGTGCTGATTCGAGGGTTTTTGGGGGGTTTTGTTTTTTTCGGACATACCTGGTCCAGCTTCTCAGGAGTGGAGAACAGAGACAGCCACTCCAGCTTCAGGTGGAGTTTCCCTGTAGGAGCCTCCTCCAGTTCAAACCACTGCAACAAGTCAACTGATAAATCAGTCTGAAGGGTTTTTTATTCATCTCTTGGGAAAGTATTCAATCTTTTTTCAGATACTGTGGGGTGCTAAAGGAAAACTATTTGAATATATCCGCTTTGCCAGGACACGTGACCACATGAGACTAGAATAAAATCTGAAATCTAACATCCATAAAGATCCCTTATCAATGTCGAATGCTACGTCCCAACAACATATTGTGATAATGAAGAAAATAAAAGGATTTTTATGTGTTTTTTTTTTATTTGGGAGTCAGTAACTTGAGTTAGCCAGGCAAAAGGATATAGAGATCCTTCCTGGTGGAAAGAGACTCTAACATATTCATCCATGAGCATAAGAGACTCTAATCTGAGTAATTTGTCCCTCGGCAACCCTTCTTCCCTCGTCTCAAGTCTGTGCAAAGTTATGCTGATCATGTAAAAACAACATCTCATCCGAACGCAGAAAAAAAAAGAAAAACAATTTCCAAATATGTCAATGCTCACTTATGGAAATGCATATGAGGAAATAATCTTACCTCATCCACCTTCTGTTCTTTGTGTAGCTCAGTCAAATCAATCATGAGGCTGTAAATAACACAAAAAGAATCAAAGAAACTGGGATGAATAAAAGTAAGTGGAAATATCACGTCAACTACTTATTACAGAGGGTGTCCAGATATCGACTGGCTGATGTGTGTTATAGCGCACAGTGAAGTATAACAGCCTTGGATCATAAAATCAATCGTATTTGCCCTTGAGCCGTTGACAGCGGGATAATACTGCTGCTTCTGTATGACTAATGTCTACAAGCAACAGCTCAGAACCAGATTGCAAAAACTCTTTTACTTATCTATCAGCCACGCCGCCGAGCAACAACATACCTCGTTTCCTCTTAAAGATGTGTGATAAGGTCCTTGCAGAGCAGGAAGTGAGGGAGACTTACCTTCCCAGGAAGTCGTCTTTGTCGGGATCTTCATCAAATAGCTCAATCTCAAGATGCTGGCCCGAGTGTTCATACACGAGAGCCTGAGGGACACAAGAGTGAGTTTACGCCTGATCAAACTTGAAAAAAAATCAATGGATTATGTGTTAAGGCTAGGCACACTCAGCGACCAACAACGGGAACTAATTAGAGAATAAATCAATCGGTTCTTTTTCCCCCTGAGATTTTGAAGTTTTGGGGCTAAATCCCAAATCCCTCACCTCATAAACTTCATTCCACTTGGGGTGGAGGGTCTGCTTGATGGTCTTGCTCTGGAACATCTGGTTGCCGATCTGCAGGACACCGTAAGGGTCGGACTTGCCCATGATGAGCCCTCCCAGAAATGTATCCTTCCCTTCCAGATCCTGAGCCTCCAGAAAGTGAATCCTTAGGACTCCCTGAGGACACATGCAGAATTAAGCGTTAAGGGGGGTTGGGGGGCAGCTCTGAAATAGAAGCAGCCGACACTTCTAAGCCACAATGCAGCAGTCAGTGCTGATGAGAGGTGGTGCAGCAGGACAAGGCTCTGGATTAAGATCATTGTTAAGTAGATACGAAAATACGACTTCTTTATGTAACTGTGTGTCCGCTTTATTTCTGCCTGGCCTTTCTCCAGGCGCTCCAGTTTGGGCCGGCAGTTTGTTAACTGGATGTTCTCAGCTAGATTAAGTTCAAAGAAAAAAAATGTGTTCAAAAAACAGGAGGAGCTATGTTTTCTCACTATCAAAATGGGTGAGAAAAGGACAGCTGTCCGTGGGCAGACAGTTGTCCATAAGGGGTTACGCTGGTGTACACCACGTGGGTGACTTGTACAAGTAATGATGAATGACATAAACAGGTTTTGGAGCAGCAGATGCTGCCATCCACATGACTTCTTTTTTAAGTAAGGCTTTGAATATGGCAGCAGACCACATTCTGCACGTATCAAAATGCTATGACTGTGTTGTAAAAGCCTCCAAATACTGAAGTGTTCTGCCTGGCACACAGTCACAGCATTTTGCGTGTTTTGGGGTTCCTGAAAGGCTAAAATCACATGAAAATGTGATAATGTGATAAAAAATTAGTCCTAAAATGTTGCAAACACTGTGTTATCTAATAAAAAAACTGATACAGGACAGTGGCACATCCTAAAATGCTAAGTGGAGTTAGAGTGTTAATCTACTGTTATGAGGAATCCATTTGTCATCAGAAAATGGCAAAAATCTGAGATTCACTGATGTTACATAACTTTTTTGACTCATTAAAAATACATCTTTACATCTTCTGAAGTTTTTCTGTTATAACTATTGCAACTTATTTTATTACAAGGCACACATCAGGGATGTATTTATAAAAATAAACAGCCTAAACTTATCCTCTAGTTTCCATGGATGCACATTTTACTGGCATGACCTTGCAGTGCCTTTTTTTTGTTTGCTGTGGTATCTTTTTGTTTTATTGTTTATTTTTTGTCTTTATATCCCAGACAAGACCAAAAATATCCTACAGAATCATACTCCAACAGCCCGTGAGAGCTTTGACGCGCTCACTGTGACCTTCTCGACGAAACCAGCAGCTTACAAACAAACTCAAACGCATAGCAAGGCCAGCAGGCGTTTAACTGGACGCTCTCTGAAACTCCACCAGTACCTTTGGCATTGGAAAGCGAAGCTTGGCCAGCTCCATGTCTCCAACCAGCGGGATTGTGATACGGTTAGGTAAAACCAAGTAACTGTAGATTATGTCTTGAATAAGGCTGTTGGAGAAGCCACTGTGAGGAGAAAGAAGAAAAAGCAATCCATTATTCTAAAGCCGGAAAAAGTACATGTTTAACAAGGTTGTTAAGAGGCCGAGCTACAACCAGAAAATTGCAATCACTGCTGGAAGAAAATGGCATCGCAATAAATATTCATGACGCTGTGTTATTGCTGACTGTGTCCCTTGAAGACATATGGGCGTTATTTCAGAAGAAGTGTCAATATATCATGGTGTCTCTATCCTGATCAAAGATGCAGCTTGGAGATGTCTACTGTCTGGAAGGGATCCAAAAATAATCTGAAGTGAATTCCAGACTCGAATCCACAATGAACACCTTTAGAAAACAGGCATCAGAAAACTCTTTACATGTGAGAAACAGCAGCTACTTCCTTAGAAGCGGCTTCTTCTTCCGCATTCATATAGGAATATAGGACACCACGTAGGTAACAGCCTGCATGTTATTGCCACAATCAATTTCTGAAGCTTCCATATTGGCGTCTTCTTGAAGTAGACCCTGGATATTTTCATTACCCGCAAAACCATAAAGAAAATCCACTCCTAACTGCTGAACAACAAAGTCAAAACACAGTTAACTCAGGGCTGCCACCAACCCCTTTCAGCTGCTCTTTGTTGACACTATCGGCCCCCAAGTCACTGGTAAAATGGCTTACAAGGGCTTTTTTGCAGCGGACAGTACAGTGAATGTTTGGCATTTTATACATTTGGTCCCAAACAGTGGTCTATACAATAAAGAGAGGGCAAACGACATGAGTATAGTACCGCGGAGATGGATAGAAACCTGCTTTTTTATATGAAAATACCAAATATGAATTTGCTACAGGTTTGACCAAACATTATATCCTGTAATTATCTACAGCTCATTAAATTTAACATCAGCAACATGAAAGGTTTTTGGCAAAGAAGGCTTGGTTTCTGTTTGTCCTGGCCGGTGTGCCTCATTCCCTTCAACACGACTTGGCTCAGAGGCACAGCGTGCTCCGCTCAGCTCGCACCAGCAAAAGCTGACCGCAGGCTAACGTATCCATCAGTCTGAGAGGACAGAAGCCGGGTCAGACACAGGGTTGCTTCAATTTAATTTCAGGGAGCTTGTACATTAGTTTGAAAAAGAGAAAGGAAAAGAAAAGAAAGGACTGGCTTCCACATACCAATGCAAACGAGAAGTGAAAATTCCACGGCAAAGAGTTCTCTGGAAATCCCAGTGGGCCCCATTCCAGATAATGCAATCAAAGATTCTAATCAGCTCAAGTAACAAGGAATGCTCCTTTAACTCTGCGTGAAAGCCTCTGATTAATCTTGTTCTTGTTATCTATAACAGTAATTGGGCTAATGTTATGGATATATAAACTTCATAAAGGACAGGGATTTAAAGAAAATAATTCAGAATAGTACTATAAAACAGAGATTTTTGCCCAATACTAAACAAAGAAAGCAAACGGAACAGACTCCCTTGTTTTTTCTGGAGCCAGGAGAAGCATTCATTTGATGAATCCTCTGCTTATCTTATAGTGAGCAGCATTATGGGTCCCTGGTGGCGGACTGGTCAGAGCTGGAGCTCAACTCAAACTGAGAAGAGGGCTCCGGGTGTGTAAAGAGCTTCCTGCCGCATCAGCAATGTGGAGGCATTTCTGCTGCACCTCTGCCATTAACACCGGAACACCCACATGTCGCTGACTAACAAAAGTGAGAGTTTTCTATTATTTATGACAGGACATCTCACTGCACACACACACACGCGTTTAAAGTTTGCAGTAAGCTAGCAAGTCTGTCCCCTCCTGGGTTCACATCAAAGTTAAGAATCGACCAAATTCCAATTAAATGCATATCCATTTGAGTAGATATTCCTTATTCCCTGAAGGGGAATATTAGTTCTTCCTGGACAAACGTGCAGAGATGATTTTCATATCTGCTGAATCGACTGGTAGATTCATTATGTGGGAAATTTCCCAACGGGTTGTCATGAAAATTTAAATATATGATGTGTAATGTAATCAGTTTAATCACTACCAGAAAGTGACACTAAAATCATCTCAGTCCAACTAAGTAAACCTCAAAACAGAAACCAAAAGACTGTGTACCAGCCAGTAAGAAGAATTTAACCACAAAAAAAAACCCAGCAGAGCAGGTGAGCGACTGATTTTGGAAGATATTCAATCAACCGCTTAAAGCGAAGGCAGATGTGTTTTCTCCTTTACAAATCAGAGTAATAGGGACTTTTAAAATGATAACAAGCGTACACCCGTCTGTTCTCAACTTTTCTTTGGAGCAGTGCACACACAAGCAGAAACCCCTTAAATGATCCACTTGTGTTTTTATCCTGGAGCATTTAGAGCTGCCTTCAGCTGACCTCTGACTAGCTAAAGAAAAGTTATCGATTTTACGAACTTTTTTAATCTGAAAGTGACTTAAACACAAATTTACACATTTCTAACAAAATAATGATTTAAGGATTGAACAGACACCGTGAGATGGCCTGATACAGTAACTTATGCAGTCTGTGTGGCTGTGGGTGGTTTTTAGGAACTCCATTAATGCAGCTACAGTTTTGCTAACTGGGCCTCTGCTACTGCAGTAAGTGCCTCTTTTGCTGCACTTGCCCCCCGCCGCCCCGACCATCAAACACACCCACATGAGCCCACAGGCTCAGCATTCATTTCAGCTCCAGTGAGTAACAATCAGACGACCAAGAAAATGATTATCCACTGTGCTGCGCTTGTGTCAACAAGTCTGTCCACACCACTGAGATGTTTGACAAGCAGCTCTTCCCAGAAAATTCGAAGCACTGTTAATGAATGTGTCAGTTTTTGAAGGGTGTATCTAATGAGCAAACAGCCTTAAGATGTTAGCATCTCTTAATCAGCCCTTGTTTGGTATTTGCCTGGCCCATACAGCAGCCCGAGGGGAAGACACACTCTATGAGATTCAAGGAAAACATCTCTGATCTGAACGCTCTGAGCCCGGTTACATTACTGGCTACAAGTAGCTGGCAGAAAGAGGGAATGTTTCTCTACTTTAGATAGCTTAGGCTGGCTAAATCGCAGTAACAAGGACAAGGACACCTGAATCCAGAAATGAAAATAACTAAAAAACGATACTTTTAGTACACTGATCTACCCGAAAAAATTACAGTTTGATTGAAATTCAGCTCCAAAGATAAGTCAAGGTTAAATGACAACCATTAAAAAGGCAGCCCATAAACATGTTTCTCTGTGAAAATATGTTCAAGACCAATTTAAACAAAAACTACATCATGCTGTGAAAGTACACATGTCCAACTTACCAAATCGAAAAACACTGCAAACACGTATTTACCCTTAAAGTAATTTTTTCTCTATTGCAAATCGAGAAAAGTAAGTTGCATCTGACTTACTTTAGCCCAGGAATGTCCAGAATATTAGTGAGTCCAGTCCAGTTTATATCCAGAAGCTAAAGCAAAGGAGAAAAGAACAGAATGGGAACATACCCCTGGGTTAGACTGTGAGAGAGTGTGGAAACGACTTTAAATGGATTCAAACACTTTACTTTATTGTTTCCAGCACCTAAATTACATTTGTCTCTCTGTTTCTTGTTTCCGGGCCAACTGTGCTGGCTGATTAATAACAGCAGAGACAGAGTCCTTCCCAAGTAGCTGCAAACTCAAATATATCAAAGGTTTTATGGATTAGCTCCTATTGTTTCACCCAGCAGCCTTTTCCCCACCTGATATATGAAGACTTATCATCTCAGCTTTGTACTTTGTCCAGCTGGCAGCCATAAAAAGTTTTCAGCCAAAAAAAAACAAAAAAGGTTGTGATCTCACCTTCAATTATTGTAAATTGGAAGAGGTTTGGAGCCAGGATCTGGCTGGGTAAATCAGCAATGATGGGCTTTGATTGGATGATAAAAAAGTCAACAGTGACTGTTGAGTTGGTTCCTGAGCTTAGTCTAGAATTTCTTTGCAGGTCTGAAAATGGCAGACCCAAACTAGGTTTGAATGTTTCTGCCAAAACGAATGACAGAAACTTCGAGAGAAAAGGTGTTCAAGCTTCTAGAACCACTTCCATGCAGAATTTTCGGAAGCCAAATAAGCCAAATAAACTTGAACCAGACACTGAATGCCTTTCTAGGTGTGTCTGAAAACCTCTCAGACTAACAAAAGCTCCCAATGCTGCCTGCCACATTAGCCGCAATCAAAAATGTATTAGAAACGGCAAATCTCTAAACAGTAGTTGATAATAGAGCACCTGCTTACTGAAATATTCATAAAAGCAGCAGCAACCACTTTGAGGCTCATTAGTCTTAGGATAATGAGGTCAGGGACTTTTCCAATGTGGAAAGTCATTTCATGTGTTATTTTTCTATCTCAGAAAAACCTTGCAGCAAGCGAAATTTAATAAGAGGACAACAGTGAAAAGAAATGAAAGGGTGGTGTGAGGAGCATGAGCTGGGACAGGAGACGATGGCAGATCCAGCCTCTCAGTGGGCTTTGATCTCTTTCTGCCTCCCAGCCAGGAAGCTGCTGTTTTCTTAATGAGCCTTTCCCACCCTTCTTCTCAGCCCAACCTGCTCACACTGCAGCAGATCCACCGAGTGCTGCAGGGAAGAGAGGGGGACTGTGGATGTTGGGGCTTTAAGGTGGAGTCAAAGGACTTTCTGTTTGAGGAACTAGTGTAAACTGAAAAACAAATATGTAAATATGGCTGTACTCCAAACCGTTTGGTTAAAGACTTGATTAGATGGCTGAAAATACCTGCTGTCACTACTCATGATAGTATATTTGTGGGTTATACCCCCTTCGAAAAACCTTGAATAAGCTCTGTGAGTTTAATAACGTTTGTTGTTTATCAGAATCAAATTGGCTTTGGCTTCCTGAAAAATGGTGTGCTCTGTATAGGTCTGTTTACACTAAATCTGGGCACCAATCCCCTATATTCTAATGGCTGTACCGCTGAGCGTAACAGCCAATAATCTGGACTCCCAGAGAGGTCAGCACATATCTGAATAACTGATAACCAGGCCGAAACTTGTGGCTCGTTGCAGTTAAATAAGACAAATGGACTAAAACTAAAAAACACAGATAGACATCTCCCCACTCCAGATTCTACATATTCATGAGCAGCTATTTGCTCAGATATTCCTGTACTCTCAACGTTGCCTCAAGATGGTCTAAAGACTGGAAAAAAAGACTCGTATGATGACATTAATGTGAGGCAGATTAGATAACAAATTATTCATCTCAATTATGTTTCTTTTTTGCTAGATCTTAACATGGTAAACTAGTACTTTAAAACTTTGGACACTTCTCATTATGATGTTTGACATTCAAATTTAACATGTTTAATCTCCATGAACACTCTACGTAACACACACATAAGTCGATGATGTAATGATGCTCGTGTGAACCCTTCCAACAGATCCCTGACTGCAGTACTCTGCTTCGCCTTTCATGAAATAAACTGTGTTCCTCTGAGCCGCAGCGATAAAACCTCCTTTGCGGCCTCACTGCAGAAAGTGTTGCACTTTTTTTTTTTTTTTACACTGCATTGAGTTGCACTAATGCAAGCATTTATTCCAGCCCTGGGTAAGACCTGTTAAGGTCTGGAAATCTTTCTGCACGTGGTACTGTGTCATGATTTACTGCTTCTTCCCGCAGCCTCCTGTAGCATTGTGCTATCTCCGCCTTGAGCTCGAGCGGAGCGCCTGAGATAAAGAAATCTGCAAAAGTAGGTCTAGCTTGATCTGCAGCTATTTAAAGCAGAGCTATAGCCCCATTGAGTCCTTTCCGTTTGTTATAAATCGGTCAAACAATTTAAAGCTTTGCAGCAGTGGCTCTGCAGAGGGTTTGAACAGGAGCATCAGCGGAACGTGCGGAAAAAAAATACAGGACGCAAATCATGTCAGGGGATGCAGACGGCTCTGGCTGGCAGAGCGCGGACACACCGGTCAATAGTGTTTACAACGCTAAAGGGAAATTGAACAAAACTTAGCTCAAGCGGAGGCTGTGAAAGAAATTTATGTAACTCATACAATTATCTTCATTTTGGCTAAAATGAACTCAATCATAAGCAAGAGGAGACGTAGCAACTCATTTTCAGAAAAATGTCTTTTAAAAACCACTTTAAAAGCCATCGTGAGGCATGAAAACTATCAGGAACAGTAAAAGTGGCAACCTTGACAAACACAATTAGACAATAACAGCAGGAAGAACACAAAGTGCGGAATGTTTCTGTTTTGTAAAATACATTTCAAGCACTAAACCTGCCGGCTCAGGTGCTGGAAAACATTCAGACAGCACCTGGACTTGTATTTCTCCACGTGGATTTGGTTTAATCACTTCCGCTCACATCACATTGCAGCTCTACAGACAGCAGGGTCGTTGTAGCTTCAGCGGGGAATCTTTTTTATCACACTTCATGCGGCGAAAATCTGCACTTACTGGCTTCTTGAGGAAAAACAATGACAGGGCTCCGACGAGAGGCATGTCCCCTAGCAACGGCTCCATCACCACTCTCAGCATGCCGTGGATCTATGGAAACACAGGAGGAGCGCGCTGATACACAGACACAAACACACGTCTAAAGAGAGCTCGCACCCTGCCGGCCCTTGACATTCCTCGGCTGTGGAGCTATCGGGAGCCGAAACACATGACAGGTCGGAAACTCGATCGCTGCCCAACTTCACGCCTGCCACAGTCGTCCTCCACCTTCTCGGTAACATATTATGACAATTACGGGGATTAGAGTATTGGAGCTGCTTTGGTTGTGTCATGTGGACACCAGCTGCTGTGATCCACGGCGGGCAACAAAGCCTGTCAAGACATATTTGTTTTGAAGCTTTACTTCTATTTTGGGGTTTGGTGGACAGTAAATGTTCTCCGTATCGAAAAGGGCAACGCAAAAAAAGCTTCAGGTCACTTACAGGCGTGACGTGGCAGCGGCCTCTTCTCCTATTAATGATCCACAGCGGGTGCACGTAATTTGTGATTTGTGTCAGATTTGATTTTATATAAACAGAAGCAGCTGGGAACATTGATATTGGATCAGAGAGCATGAGCTTCAGCTACAATACACTTTGGACACTTTTTTCTTGTTTACCCTGGTCTGAATGTGAGAAAAGAGCTCATGCCTCGGCCCATTAAAGTGAATTAATATCATGTAGAAATGAAGAATGCTTTTGAGAAAGTCACAGAAAAACACCAGTGTTATTTATACATGACATAGACACCTTCAGTTGCCATCAGATTAATGGAAAACAGAGCACGCGTGAAAGGTCAGTGCTTGCAAGCAGTGCACGTCAGTCACTTGTATCACATTAAATTTTTATGCCTGAAGTTATTTCCTTGGCCAAGAAGAGCTCAGGATGAGAAGCTGTTTCCTGGAGCTGACTGCTGAAAAGCTGAGCTGTCACATTAGGAGCTGTGAGATGAAACCAGCTCCTCAGAAAGCGACTCTACATTTCTATCCCTAAACATCAAAGAAACATGAGCGCCTGCCTCATTCTGATGTAAGAAGTCACCCAAAAATGGGATTTCCTACGCGCTGCACTCTGAATTTACAAGTTTTAAGCCGGGATCATGTGTATTTATCACGGTATTGACAAAGTCGTCATGAGGAATAATAATGGCTTAAAGGCAGAGAGACCTGCAACAGCCACTGACGAGCAGAGTGGAAAAACATATCTTCAATAATGGGTCCATTCAGAAAGAAAAACAGCTTTACCGTAATGCTGCTTTTGATATATTGGTCGTTCTAGCAAGCTTTTTTGTGGTTAAGGGATCTCCATCACAGCAGTGCAAACACACAACTGAATAAAGCCAAATGTATGATATATTAGCGGCGTTTAACCCCCCTCCTCATCAATAGCTCAATAATCTAAATGTCTTCATCGAGCCAAAAGCACAAGTGTTTTGTGAACCACCTTTAGACGTGGAGGGGACCCGGTGAGCTGGGGGGATGCTGTATGTAGGTCTGCCTGACTTAGATAATATGAACAGTGGGCAACATGTACGTCCCATGGGAAGTCCAACAGCACTCAAAGGAGGAGCAGAGACTGCTCTTCCTGCCTGCTGAGCCTCCGAAGCAGCACCCAAAGGGACAAAGCCACACACAAGAACAACATGCAGAAATGTTTGAAACAAAACAAAACGTACAAGAAACAGAAAAGGATGCTTTTGATTCAGCTTTCTTATGCTCATTTGGGGTATGGTTTCCTTTGTGTTAATATGTTTTTGCTTTGTTTTCTCCGTTTCATTTTCTGATTATGCGGATAGTTGTGCACAATGTGGGCTGAATCAATGTGAAAACAAGAACAAAGCGGAAAAGCCTTTTTCTACAGTGACATGTCGCAACCTTTTCAATTATTTCAGAAAAAGAGAAAAACAATATAGTTTAGGAATAAATATGCGCTGGCAGGCATTCTTTTTTCCTGAGAAAATTTTGATTTTTAAAGTTTGGTCAAAACTGAACACAGAGACAGATATTTGCAAAGTCTATTTTCAATGTTATTACTGTATGGGAAAGTTCCTCCATTATTTGTGCCCTGCTACACAGTCTTCCTGTTTACAGTCCGGAATTTGATTCAGGTTTTATAATAACAAACACCACACGGAAACAATTATCTGAAAGAAGAGATAGCTGCCACCTTGTTATTGGATATGCTACGGGGAAGAAAAAGGCTCGCAAATCTCAACTGACAAGACAGAACTTTTCCTCAAGTCACTGCTGCTTTATATCCAATGATTCAAGCTCCTTTTCTGACAGCAACTGCAGAGACCAAAGCCCACGCCAAGAGAAAGTACCTCTGTAAACGCCTGATATAAATCTAACAAAAAAGGATTTTCTCACCTGGATACTCTTGATGCCGGCTTTGCAGTAGTACCGTTTGATGTCCACATCAATTTCAGTGTTGCCAGCAAAACTGAGAGGGAAAAAAAACTGTCAAGGGAACTCCAACTCTTTCTATAACACATAACAAGATAAAACCCTTCATCTTTACAAAATCTAAATGCCTTTTAATGAGTTTAACTTGAATAATGATCTCTAAAAGACTTTATTCTCAAAGGTCCCTTTATTGTAAACTGATAAACGCATCTACATTGTTCGGTTAATGTTTGTTCTCAATAAGTAGTCCTAAATTATTCAAAAGAAACAATATTGCTGACTCACCTAATCTGCAGGTCCATGATGATCTGTCGCTTATCCACATTTTCTGTGTAAACCTTGACCCCGTTGATTCTCAGGGGCTGCAAAACAACAGACGGAACAATCCAGGCCTTGAACACAGCCCTCCCATCCACACACTTCTGGGTCAAGGTCGGCCCCTCTCTCTGGACCCCCCCCCCCATGGAAACTATTTGTGAAACAAGTACGCGTGACGGCACCCTCCGCGTTCGGTGTGTTCGCCTTCGAGCTACGCCCTCCGCCAGCTGTCCCACGGCACCTGCTGCCAGTGGGCTGATTTGTCACCACTGGAATAACACACGATCGGCCCCGTCAGACCGAACCCACACCGGACACTCACTTTGTCCCCCATGTCGATCTTGGTGAAGCAGAAGGTGCTGAGGTGGGCGTGGGACTCCTTCACCGCCGGCTCGATGATGTCGTGGAACAGCTTTTCCACAAACTGGCAGATGTACGGCCACATCTGCTTCACCGTCTGAAAAAGGATGCGACAAACATCTGCTGTTGTTTGTCAGTGACTAACAAAACGGGCTTAAATGCTTCTTCCAGGTACAACCGAATTACAGTTTAAAGTATCCACAAAAGTCATTCTATTTAAGGAAAATGGTGTCAGACTCATTCTCATCAAACATGGAGAGAAACACATGAATTTTTTAATCTCCCCCACCCTTCCACCATTTTGACATAAACCCATGCATGGATGTGAGTGTACGTCCTGGTTGTTGCCATGGGGATTCACAGGGGTTACTGTGTTTCACACACAGCGCTGCACACACTGGGCTGCATCTGAAAATTAAATGTGCTGCAGTGTGTTAGCTCCAGTGGGAAGAGGAGAAAGGAGCAGTGGGGCAACAGACATCACATTTAACCCAGGTTTTTTTTTTTTTTCAATGAATAAATAAAGGAGGAAAAGGCGAGTCAAACACATGAGAGAGACAGCTGCTGGATTCTTTACCTTGTTCAACCACTCCACCCGCTCCACGTCTGGAAAATGGACCTGCAAAGAGGAAAAAAGAACTGATTTTCTGAACTTGCAAACATCATAATTTCATCCTGCGTGTTTTGTCGCATTGACCTACGAGTTTTAATGCTAAAAAAACACGTTTTCTACCGATACCACGCAATGCTGTAAGGCCATGATCCCAAAAACGGCAGTACGCTCCGACTGGTCTTCTGATTATTAAAAAATCATCAACAAGGGAAGTTGTTGGATGTGTGCCACCATAAGTAATTCATGTGCCTAAATAAAGGAGGCAAAGCCCGGACAGCCAACAAAACCGTTTACAGGGATGTGAACTTTTGGCTTTTGTAACTCTGCAGGAGTTCACAAAGTAAGCTGCAGTCCATGAGTCTACTCTGTTCATCACGGGCTGTTTGGCCACCAAATTCTGAGTTTGCTTTTTTTGGTTTGTGTCGATTCCATTTTTGTAGAAGCTTCAAGGACGTAACTGTAAGAAAGAAGCAAAGAAGCAGTAACAGTTCGGTCTTTTGGTCACTTCGGGTATTGAAATGAGTCTGGCATGAGGCGACAGTCTGTCCCGAACATTACAACAATATTAAAGAGGAAAAAGGAACAAAGTATCCGTCAGTTTCTTTTTGATTAATGAAAAAACATTTGACACAGAGCTTTCACTAAAATCTGCTTGCAGAGGTCCTTAGCTGTTCTTTTTTTGTGGTTTTTCCCCTTATTAAAACAGCGAGTATATGACTATGCTTTTGTCAAAACATTCTGGTACTTATGCAAATCGCTGACTATGGACCAAATACAGTCCTCACACTGTCTCCACTGTAACGGAAGCTCAGGGTGAAATCAGAATAGAAATTTGGTGTTGCTCTTCTGCACACAGCATAAAAAATAGATTAGCTGTCGTGTGTGTTTTTTCCAGCATGAACAGGACCTGCATTCACAGACCTCAACCCTGCATTTATGCTCTGGGTCTTGACTAATCCTCTCGAATGAGCAAAGTAAACCAAGTATTGATTTAAGGTGAAGGAAATGCCTGAAATAAAGTCAATACACCAGTGTGCAGAGAGGCATGGACCACTTTATTGAACAGCAGATGAATTAGATTACCTCTCAATTGCCGGGCCTAACAGGTTTATTCTCTTTATTCCCTGAAAGACGAGGCGACGCATGTGACGTGTGGCTGCGCGGCCACGCCAAACGCCGCTCTGCTTCTGATCGGTCAGCGTTTAAAGCATTCACAGGACCCTGTGTCATCTCATAGGACAGACTCACGGCTTCGTACAGCTTGCTCGGTGGCAGCCATTGTCGAAGAGGAGTTGTTACAATGAAAACTATGAGCTTTGCCTTCTGGGAGTCTGATTAACAGTCTGAACATGTTTTTTTTCTTTGTTCTAACAAGGCTTTTTTTTTTTCTGAGTTCAAACGCCCTGCTTTCAGAGTCAAAGAGATCAGTTATTTCTGTAGCCTAACGCTCACCTTCCATATTTCCCCTCATAAGGCTTGCTGACAGGAGTGCAGCTGAGGGCTTAGTGCTATGCACAGCATCTGAGTCCTTTGAACCACAGCACAGCTGTAATGGTCTCATTATTTCACCGACACAACCGGCAGATGAGGAAAAGAAGCTCCAGCTCTGCATAAATGAGCTGGAGAAGAATGACGGCGTCGACCGGTGACGACTGAGAGACGTTCTCCAGCTCCGTGCAAAAGTCTCGGGCCGTTCCTCGTCTGTTTCTATTTTCCTTCCATGCAATCAGACTTTCTTTCAAGCCTGGCTCTGTGAAGGTTCAGTTCAGTTCTCGCATTGAAGCAATGTTCAGGGGTGTGTTTTTGTGGCCGTTGATTCAGTTTCTGACTTATCCAGGCATAAAAAGACCAAACTGATTCCCCAAATAGTTTTTAGCTGAAACTTTGCATCGCTCATTCTGGTGTGCAGTGTGCCCTTAAGACAGGCAGGAGTCGAGAAGATGACAGAGAGAAGGAAAACCAATTATACAAACTCAGCGCAGATAAACACAAAATGACCAGAGAGGGTTGTGCGATCTGATCACCCGTGCAGGGCAAGCTTCAAAGAGATAGCAGATAATCACAAACAAGGAAACCCGTGGCGAAACAGAGTGTGCGTTGTGCGGATGGAGAGATAAACACCAAAAGAAATGCAAAATGACACCAAAGAAATGCAAAGCGAGCACAAGTACACACAACCCAATAACAAAAGGAGGAACCGAATTTATCCAAATAAATGCAAAATACGTGCAAAGACACACAAAATTAGATTAAACCTGACCAAAATAGATGCGCAGATAAAGTGTGTTTCAATGCTGGCGCGTGGCCAATCTGCAGGCTGAGGCACCGACCACACTGCTTAAGGCAAAGAGTATCACACGGATACCACACCGGGGACAATGTGGTGCTCAGTGTCACGACACTAGGACACTTAGATGCTCCGCTGAGCATCGAATGGGCCTAATCCACAGCAGACCAGACAGGAAGAGAGCTGTAGTGCAGATGTTAAGTCCAGCAGTGCATGTTAAAGGATTAATTCTGTGCATTTTGCTTAAGAAAAATGTCAGTCAGCATTTGAAGATGCATTTATAAAGGGTACGCAGAGATATCAAACACAAAAGGGCCAAAGTGTGATTCGCTGAGGACACAACCTGTTTCTTATTCTGAAACATGAATCGATTTTCAACCGACCTCGAACGCGTCTGTAATAGGCTGTCAGTCAGCGTTTGAAGACGCATTTATAAAGGCTAAGTAGAGATATCAAACATAAACGGGACAAAATGTGATTTGCAATCTGAAACATGAATCGATTTTCGACCGACCTCGAACGCGTCTGTAAAAGACGACTCACAGACTAAAATCTGTCCATGATTTGAACTGAGATGAAAACCGGAAGGTGTCTGGCCACGTTCACAGTCCTGCTGCTCTTCATTCCCCTCCCTATGGGCGTCCGAGCCCCTGACCGGTGCTGTTGACAAAACTAAAACTTATGACGCTTGGCCAGACACCATCAGTGTGACAGCTAGTCGCCTCTGCACCAGACAGCCTCACTCAGCCTGGAAAAAAGGGGACTGAAATACAGAGAAAAGCACTTTTCTAAATTATGTTTGAGAAAAAAATCCCTCAACTGGAAAAAAACAAAACAAAAAAAACAAAGGCTGCCATCTGTGTCAGGGTTCCCTTTGCGCTGTGTGGGGAGGCTGCTGCAAAGGAAGATTTGAAGCCCTGACTTGAGACCACCCCCCCCCCCCCCCTGCCCGATGACAGCTCGGTATCGACGCACTGACGTGTGCTCGGCTTGAAAGTGTGCAGCATGCTGCGGGGCGCCGGAACGTGTGATGTGAGGTCCCACAATGGCGCCGTGCAGCCGCCGGAGAGGCCGCGGTTCAACGTGAAGCTTGACAGATTACAGATCTAAAACGGTGTGCTGCTTTGGTGTCTAAAAAAAAAGCTGCTTTCCTCTAGATGGGATATTCCAGCTGTACTCTTCCTAACTCATCCACCCCCACTTAATGGCCACAGCGTATCCTCACCCATGTGTCAGCAGAATGAGCTTTTGGGCTGGTCTCCCAACAGCAGGCTGCACAGAGGAGACCCGCTCTGGCTCTGGGAGGGGGTCGGATTCAGGAAGTCTCACTCGGACCTGCAGAGTTGTCGTGCAGCCGAGCTTTGATGCTCACTTCCATCAGCAGCTCGTTTCCTGCACGCTGTATTCCACGTAAACAACTCATTCAAGGGACACGACGCGCAAATCGACGCTGGAAAAAGTTTCACAGGCAAATATTTTGCCCTCCGTGTGTTCCCCTGTGGGCGTGGGTGGTGTGGTGGTTAGCACCATCGCCTCACAGCCAGAGGGTTCTGGGTTCGAGTCCACCCCGGGGGAACAAGGACCTTTCTGTGTGGAGTTTGCATGTTCTCCATGTGTCTGCGTGGGTTCTCTTAGGAGTGAGTGTGAGTGTGCGTGGTTGTTGGTCCTTGTGTGTCTCTGTGTGGGCCTGCGATGGACTGACGGACTGACCCGCCTCTAGCCCATTGACTACTGGGATAGGCTTCACGGGGGGGCCGTGACCCCATTATGGAATAAACGGCTCAAAAATTGGATGGATGGAAGGATGTTAACTTAGTTAACCGGTTAAGAACACAGTAATAATAACCCTCCCAAAGATACATTATAAAAAATCATTCCTAAAGGTTATTCTGTCGTTCTGTAATGATCTGATTCTATTTGTTTAGTGCAGTTAGGCTGCAGCTACATTAAAAGCAACCTGTTTCACACACTAAACTGTGTACTTTGGAGAAGAAAGGTCCGCCATCCCCGCGTCTGTCACCGGTACTCAGATAAAGAGTTTGAAGAAATGGGCCGATTTTCTGCTGGAGAGATGGCAAGTCTGGATCCCAAAATAAACAGAGAGAGCCTGTGGGCACGTTGCCCTCCCAGCGTGGTGTCTGGTTCACCATTGTACCCAGCCGAATTTAGACTGGAACTGGGTGTCACCGCCCGGTGGGACAGCTGTCTCAGAGCTGCCCACCTGATGGGGCCGGCTCCTTAAAGCCTTCCTGGAAAACTGAAAAGATTGTTGCTCAAGTGAAAACTACAACCCCCCACCCCAACACACACACATACACACACACACACACACACACACACACACACACACACAGGAACAGGTCTCTGTCAGGTCTAACAACTATGGAGATTTGTGGTGTGGCCTTACCCATGGTGGTAAATCAGAGGTGGTTAGACTGGCACTTTGCTCCTCTTGCTCAAAGAAAGCCAAAGCTCGGCTCAGCCGGCTGAGCTTTCCTCCAGTGTTCCTCCTCCACCAGAAAAAGATGACGAGCCCAATCAGCAGCCAGCTGAAACTGAACTCAAAATAGCCCAAGACATAAATGGGGAAAATGAGAACGAAGGTTTTGGCGAAGTGCACCCAGGTGTGGGTCAGCTCTCCGGTGGAGGACAGCGGGGCATCGTCGGGGAAGCTCCCCGCGGAGGGAAGGGGAAAGTTGGGGTCCGGCTGAGCGGCGCTCGGCGCCGTGTGTCCGTTCTCTTTGGGGGCAGCGGGGCTTGCGCTGTGCCCGGGGGCTCCCCGGACAGCTGTCATGCTGTCCCTCGACATGACTCCGCGCCCCGGAGTTTGTCCTGGAAGTGTCTGAACGCGGGTTAGGTCGCGGGACTCCGGGAGCCTGCTCTCACGCCGGCTCACCTGCGCACCTGCCCATCGCCCTTCCGAGGACTCGCTGGTCTCCGCCGAGGTATATTTCCATTCGGAAACGAGCTCAAGGAATCATTCCACTCGTCAAAGAGGTCGCTCGACCAGTCCCGTCCACAGCTCTGGTTACTTCGGCGCCTGAACGGGGTGGGAATGGTCACCTCCAAGAGGAAGGGATAGGAATCTGTGGTCCAGCCCCGGCCCCAGGCGGGAAACGCTGCCACCTGGTGTTCAGTGACGGTAACTGCAACCCATGTCACGTGAAAGGAAGAAAATAATAAACAAAACCAAAACCGAACTAACAAGGCCAAACCTGAGACACATTATTGCCTGCGCTGCCTGTTGGTTAATACTACAGCCATGAAATGGCCCATCGAGCACGTGCCCCGGTACAGATGGGTCCATTTTTCAGCACGAATCTGTGAAATGTGAAAATATGCAAAAAGTGCAGTTTTTCAAAAGAGATGCAGTTGACAACCAAGAGAATTCACAAAATGCTGGGTCCTACAATATGCCTGTATCAGAGAGCTAATCACATGAGGCCATGCAGTGTGACCCATTTTAGACGCATTATTGCAAAACGAAGACACTACTTTGAATGTAAAATGAATATGAAAAACAGGAAGTATAATATGAAGCACAAATTGAAAGGCCCAACATGAAGTACCAGAGAGAAGATTTTCTAATAGAGAGCATAAAAGATCATAAATCCCAAACTGAACCCACTAAGACAAAAAAAAGTAACAAAAGTACACAATATCAAGAATAAAAATACAGTCCTGCGCTGCTTATCTTTATTAAATCAAAATAAGTGCAGTTAAAGAACATTTACATGGTCCAAATGAGACATTAAAATGGCCAAAACAATGTAAAGTAAACAAAAAAAAAGTGAAATTAAATTGAGAAACGGATTTTCGGTATTATATAACTTAAATTAATGTCAAAACATCCACAAGGGAAAAAGAAACATAAAAAGGATCCCAAATCCTGAGGTGAGATAGATCCTAAACGTGGAACCACTTGGTTTCGTGAGAACGCGAACTGAATTGGGTCGTTGTTATGACAACAGGCTGTTGACTCTAGCGACTGCTCTTCTTTTGATTAAGACGCCTGTTGTTAAGCAGGGATGACGCGTTGCCCCTAGTTTCAACAGACTGCGCATGCGCTGCAGACCTTTACAATGATGGCGGCGTCTCTGCAAAAACATAAGCTGACTTTTGGTGCTTGAAAAACGTGTATTTTATCAAAAGCAGTGAGACCATGCCCACTGACAAGGTAAGTGACCCACAGTTGTCGCCAGTGTTATTCAGCAATTGTTTGTTGAGTTTATTTGCTTACTTCTAAGTCTTAAGTCCTTCCGTATTATGTTGTGTAGACGTTGGGTTGTTTTATCTACATGGATATAACTAAATGGAATACGCTTTCATGATATGTTTTTCTTCAGAAAATCACTAATGAAGATACGTGGAGACCTGCTGACTTGAGAAGACACATCAGGGTAAGTTATTTAGAGTTGAGGAACGCTCTGAAGTAGCCTGGTTTAAACAAGTGAAAACACGTTTTAAACGTTCAAATCTTTGCTATTGTTTAGGAAGATGACCATGTGGATGACCGTGCCAGGAGGAGAGATGACACTGAGAGAAAGCACCGGGGTGGGGGATCGATAGAAAGACGTCACAGAGAACCAGAGGAGTCCAGACGAGACCGAGACAAGCTTCGGGAGAGGGAAAGCACAAGAGTAAAAGAAGATGAAGACGGCAAAGAAAGATATTCAGAGCGAAGGAAAGAGGGCTCGCAAAGCAGGAAGAGAGATAAGAACAAGGACCGAAGAGACGAGATGGACACTGAAAAGACAAGATTAACAGATGATGACAGAGAAAAGAAGGAAAGGAGACGAGAGAGACACGAAAAACGTGAAAGAGAGAGAGAAAAGGACAGGCACAAAGATAAGGAGAAAGAAATGGAAAGAGACAAAAAGAGACACACTGCAGAGGACAGGGACAAAAGGAGGGAGGATAAAGACAAGGAAAGAAGGAGAGAGGAATGGGACCGCGAGCACAGAAGCGATAGAAAACGACTGGAAGAAAGTGGGGAAGGAATAAGAGATCCCACAAGAAGGCAGCACAGAGAGCACAGTGAACAGCGACACAGAAATGATGAAGACCAGAAGAAAGACAGAGACCTTCAGGAGAGACAGGAAGACGGAAAGCATTCACAGCGGAAAGAGGACAAAGGTGGGCCCACTTAGACCACAGCATTTACAGATGAAGGCTTCTATGTCATTCCAATCTTCCTGGATTTCTGATTTCAGAGTACAAAGAAGAACGCAGAAGACGTAAAGAGGAGAGAGAGAGGAGGCACAAAGAGAGAGGACATCCCGTAAGCATCTTCAGTAGTATCAATGATCAGTTGATTTGTATTTTCAGGGGAAAAAAGTATTTTTAATGCATATGAAGATGTGCCAGAATCATTTGGGGACACTTAATGTGGATTTTTTTTTACTGTTTAGGATGAAATACGGAAGCATGAAAACGAATCAAGGGAGCATCTAGACTTTAGACAAACTGGTGAAGAGTTAAGGCGTTACCATAGTGACAGGGACCGAGGAGAAAGAGACAAACACAGAGAGAGACGGAAAAAAGTGGAAGATGATGCAGAGACAAGATACAAAGAGAGAAAGCAGAAACAAGAAGAAGCAGAAGATGTAGAAAGAAATCTGAGAGACACAACCAGCTCCAAGAAATCATCTTCTGACAAAAGACACAAACATGAAAAGAAAGACATAGTGGGAGAGGTTAGTAGAGCCTTATATTTCCCTGGGACCTTTATTATTTCTTTTTCTGCATTCATGAAACTTATTTTATTTAGATATTTAAACTTATTATTGTGACAGACATTCTGGTGACAGATAAGTAAAACAAAGGACTTGATAAAAAAGACAAAAATTAACCACAAATTCAAACATGATAAATGCAAAAAAAGAGAGGTTCATTAAATATAGGAATTTCCATCTACGAGTCTTACAATCTTTTTCCTACTTTGTGTCTTTTATTTAAACTATCAGGGATTTAAGGATGAAGATTTGGCAGAAGAAGAATATGAAGATGATTTTGAGGTAAGAATACAGCAGTGCATTTGTTTATTGTGTCTCTTGTTCTTGTTAAAGCACTTATTCGTTTATTTACTTTTCCATGCTTTACTCGATTTGCGGTGTAAGAAACTGGTGAGTAGTCAGAGCTGAAGATGTGAAGTTTGTGCTCATTGTGTGTAATTTGAATATTGTCCGCCATCTGGGATGCAGGGAATAATTACATTTTTTTTAATTGGAGGATTATGAAGAGGATTTTGAGGAGATGGATGAGAGCACAGATGAGGCTGAGAAGGAGTTGCTGGATTCTAACGTGGATGATGGAGAAGAGAAGCTCACAACCCAGCAGAAAAAGGAGATTGAGGCAATTAAGAGAGCCATGGCTGAAGAAAATGAGATAGCCGGAACGACTCAGTCCAGACAAAGTACAAACAGAGAGGAGGAAGACACACAGAAAACGCCCAAAGGTGACAACAGCTCTTGGTATTATTCCACTTTAGCTTTCTTATCATAGTTATGATGCACTGATGGCGCTTTTTTTTTTAAAGGCTCTGAAAAGAACGAGAGGACATCTTCCCAACGTGGCAAATTTATCGACTTTGTGACTGCAAAGCAGCGGGAAGTCAGCAAGAAAGTTTCTTCAAAACAGAAGTAAGTGTTTAAGTAAAAGTTAATAGGACAGTATGTCGGTAGCAAACAATTTATATCACTCATAACCAATAAGAGAATATGGCATGGTTCCTCCAGTGTATTTTTTTTTTTCTGAACACAGGAAGCGAAGCACAGAGCTGCTTCGTCTAATTGATCTGGACTTCTCCACGACGGCCTGCCTGTTGGATCTTCCACCTATCAGTGAATATGAACTGTACATCAGAAGCTTTGGAAATGCAAATACCAAACAGGTCGGGGACCATTTCTTCATTCCTGCTCTTTAAAGCATATTCCTGAACCAAAGTTTATTCAGGAGAGTTTGTGTTTGTGTCCTGTCAGGCATACGTTCAGTGCAATGAGGATAATGTGGAGCGAGACGTCCAGACAGAGGAAATAGAGATTTCTGAGAAGTGGACCCAGCATCCCCCAGAGCGCAGTGGAGCCTGTGGGGGTACGAGGACGTGGAGTCACTGTCATTCCCTGATTCAGTTAACGTGCACACTTTGAGCTTAGTTGTTATGTTTCCTGTGTCTTGCCAGATCCAAACGTCTCTCAAGATAAAAGCAGAAGTGACTTGAACATTGATTCAAAACGCCTGATATCATTTCTGCACTCAGCTTCACAGGTTTTTAGAACCCTACATTTCGCACTTGTACCGTGTTTTCTCAGTTACCTTCTATCACCGGTGTCAGCAGGGATTTTCTGTCTTTTGTGTCAATCAATCCAGGTCATGGTTGTGCTGCTGGAGGAGGACCAAGCAGAGAGAAACTCCCAAAGAAAGCTGAAGACTCAAACAGACTCGCTGTCTTTCAGCGGTGGAAGTTTGCAGCTGAACACTAACTTGCCTTTTCTTTATGGTACATGTATATGATTTAATATGGGTGTTTTGTTCATTCTTAACTTTGGGGCTTGAAACAGCCTACCAGAATAGAGTGCAGCATGCAGCCCGTCGCCCTCTTCGACAGTTCCTGTTGTGTCACTGTTACTCTCTCACCATCAACCACAGGTCGCCGTGTCAGCCTGGTGCATTTCTCGGAGGTTCAGAGACACACTATGATGACCGTCCACATGCCCACAGTCCAGCCAAGCGCCGTGCGTCTCGACAGCTGTACCATAATCTGTATCTGGAACATCTGGGAGCGGTCAAGACCTCAGAAGATTCTCATCTACGAATCTGCGGTAACTTTTTCAGTTCCAGCAAAATGGACTCCACTGTTCGGCTCTGCGTCAGTTCATTTTTCCATTGCCAGCATGATTTCAGACTTGCTTTTTCAGTATGATTGCCCTCCAAAACAAACTTGTATAAAAACATATTTTAAAGGATGAAAGTTAACTAGAATAGAATAGGAAAATACTTTAAAATGAGGGATGAAGTTGGGGATCCCTCAGTGTCTCTGCTCCCATTATTTCTACCTTTACCTTTAAACTGTGTAGATAGATTTGAAAATGGACTTATCATTATTATTTTGGGCTCAAGGTGCAGTGCTGCTGTTTCAGCCCTGGAAAGGCCACGCTGGTGTTTGCAGGGACCTCAGTTGGCTCTGTTGTGCTCTGGGACCTGAGGGAGTATGCAAGTGACCATTATCGCTTAAAAATAGGCGAGGATGAGTGGACCTTCAGACATCCTACCTTCTCTACAGGTGAGTTAGCTTGGATGTTATTCCATCCACTTATTTTTACTGATTCCACTCTGAAACACGTCACATCTTAACCCTTTTTCTCTCCTCATCCTGTCACCAAACGTGTTCAGAGTGTTTTCGATCTGCTCATAACAAGCTGTTTTTCTTGGTTCATGTGGTGCAGATTCAGAGAGCACTGATATTTTCTCTGTTTTTCAACGCAGATGCAGTGATGGCTGCCACAGGCCATTACTCGCCCGTGACGGCTGTCGAAGTTGTTCCCTCCATCGTAACCGGAGGGCTGAATGTAGAGGTCCAGTTTTTGGCATCTGAGGAAGGTATGACTCTGTTAACACTGGGTTGGACACATGTGTTACATGCCATTTATACTTCCATCCTTTTATCATTTTTGTTCTTTTTCTCTGTCCAGAATCATCAGGATTGTCATTCCAGCTGGCTTCTCTGGATGAAAGCGGGCTGATAAATTTCTGGGTAGGTTGGCCAACAAAGTAGACACAAAATGAGCAGGCCACAAGGTTGATACGACATTTTAAAGCTTTCAAGTCCAATATCCCACACCCTTCCTGTGCGTCAAAACTCAGTCCAATCAGGACACACAAGCACCACTAACATACATAGTAATTAACTATTTATTTATCTGGAGTATTGTTGTGAATTGGTGATATATACTGTTATCATATAACCTTATTAGAAATATAGTTAATATATTTTCTGTACTTACTGATGTAAGTTAAACAAAATAATCAGAAGTGTTATAAAACGATGGTTTATCTTAGGTAATATTCACAGTTACTAAGTTCTGTAACTATGACTCTTTTTGATCCAGATATTGAGGACTTCCCTGTTTTCTTCTCTTTGCCCTTCAGGTGGTGGTGGAACTCCCCAAAGGCAACGAGGCAGGTTCACCAGCAGATCTAGGTAACAAAGCCACATTTCGGAGCTGTGCCCCTTTTTCCACAGACATTCTCATATTTCTTACACACGTCCGTCTGACCTCATACTTCTCTATTTTCATTCTTCCAGGTCTCCGGCCGGGGGGCAAAGTTAAGCTGCTTCACAGCTCCTCCCTCCTGGCTGCTGAGAGGTGAGAGTGATGAATAGCTTGTGATGATGGTATGTCACCACAGACCCCATTTCTTAAAATAACCCACAGTGTCTTTGCCCAGTGGGGCACAGCTTCTCGGCCGTGGTCATACGATCTTGTTTGTAGCACGCTGGATGTTTTGTTCCCTCTGTTTGGAACGTGTCGGCAGTCGTGTACGGTACCAGCAGGAGGAAACACGACGCGCTCCTGCCTTTGTATTTGTTTTTTCTGACCTCTGACCTCCGGTCCTTTCATTTTTCCACCGTTTCTTGCTCCGTTTGACTCACAGGGTGTCACCACGAGATGCAGCCAAAAAAAGAGCATTACAGACGCAGCTTTTAAAATTTCTTCCAACAGATTCCAACCATTTCTTTGTCGGCACTAATTTGGTGAGTAAAATTAATACAGTGGCAACTTAATTATTGTTTTTTAGTTTTAAAGGGGGCTATGCCTGTTCTGTTTTGCTTTAACATACTCATGCTGTTTTGTTTAGGGTCTTGTCAACCATGGAACAAGTCACGGTTTGAAGGCTCCACCAAAGTTTTACAGGTTTCAGGAGGTTGAAGTACGACCTGTCAATGTCACATCAATTCACTTCTCTCCCTTCAAACCACATTTGTTCTTGGTAGGAGGCTTTATTTTCTTTCTCTTTTTCGTAAATTGAATATATTTCAGGAAACAACAATATATTATTACATGTGTGTTTGGCTGTTTCAAAGCTAGATGTTGCAGAGCAGCTTAGCTTAGCGTACAGACTGGAAACAGGGGGAAGCTAGCTCACCGGCAGCTATAAACTCCCTGTCCATTAAAAAAAACTTCAGAGTGAAGAAACTAGATCACTGAACAGTTGTATTATCACTCAAATTGACACCTGTGTAGTTGGAGTATGAGCTTTTCAAGTCACCGGTATTCATTCTGTAGACTTACTGTGTGTCATTATGTATTTTGTTTGACTCCGTCCTTATCATAGGTGGGCTGTGAGGATGGCAGCATCAGGCTGCACGCGGTCAGCCATGAGCAGCCCGTGGCAGAGTGGAGGAACAGCACAGCCGGTGAACCGGTGGTCTCACTGCAGTGGTCTCTGACCCGGTCGGCGGTCTTCTGTGTGCTTGATGCTGCCTCGAACCTCCACATATGGGACCTGTTAAAGGAGGATGGGCAGCCTGTGGTCACCGAGAGAATCAGTGCTGATAGGTAACTCCAGAAAGGCAGTACATAAACGTCTAGCTGATTTTAGATTTTTAGTGTTCTAATATCAGGTGTTTTCTTTTTTTCAGGGTAACAACTATGGCCGTGTTCGGAGACTCTGAGAAAAAAATCACATTTTCAGGAGTAGCCCTGGCGCACGAGTCTGGAAAAATAGAGCTGCATTTCTTCACAAATAATTTAACTGTGTCAAGCTCTGCGGAGGAGGAAAAGTTGGACAGCTTATTGACTGAGGCCTTTTGAAATATTACATCACTGATGATCATCCTCACAATTGTGAATGTAGTTGTACTTAAATCCTGGAAGAGCATTAAAACCAGTTTATAAACCTCTTTAAACTCAGAATCAGAATTAAAGAGATGCGTTTTTTTATTCTTATCACTGGCACATGCTAGAAAATGTATATTGTTATGAGAAGAATGAAGCTAAGTACCAAAGATCCATCACAGTGATCTATGCATCCATACATTCCAGAGTCACAGAGGGAGGTGGGATACACCCGATACGAGTCGATGCTTTATGAATTTTAAAAGCTGCTTGTACATGTATGTAGATATAAGTATATTTATACTTTTTTATCATAT